TTCCACCCTTGTTTGGACTTGGTTTCCCACCTCCAAAACGTGCACGTCACTTCCGTGTTCCACAGCTTGTTGGCAGAACGTCTGCGCGCTCGTCAGTCCGGCCAGCTCGAACTCTATCGCTTCCTTCTTTGCCTGTAGAGCCTTGCCGTCTGCTCGGCACTGCTCGTCAATCTGGCTCAAAATCTCCTGTTCACGCTTTTGCAGAAGGTCGGCAAGTTTGCGGAAGTACACCTTGGCTTGGTCTGCATGTGGCTTCCTCTTTCGATGGCATCAACATAGAAATCTTTCGGTCAACTTCCTTTACAGCGTTCTGTATTTCCTTCAGGCGAGGGTCTATGTCTTGAAAAAGTCCTTGCAGCTCTGCCTTTTTTTTCTGAGCCACGGTGGCGATTTCTACCGGATTGTGATCTTTGCCCGGCCGATGGTCGACCACGGTACACGCCGTACAAACCAAAGCCTTGCAGCTCTCACAGTAGAACTCTAGCTCATACTTCTTGTGCTTGTCGCAGTGTCGCTTACGATTAAATTTGCTAATAGCTTCCTCGGCCTTGAGGGTTTCTTCTGTGGTAACTTCGTGATCTTTAGAACACGGAAGGTTCCGATGTACGCTGGTGCACGCCTCACACAGTAAGGTAGCGCAATCCGCACACCAAGACTTCGACCCCTCCACATTCCCCCCGCACACCTGGCACGGCACGCCTGGCTCCGCCCCTTTCTTGGCCGCCGCGAAGTCCAGCAGGTTGTTGACGTAGAAGTTGGTCTTGAGTCCGTCCACACCTTGGTCTGGTAGACTGGCCGGTTCGCGGCAGGTTGGACACTCCAGCGGCTGTTGTTTGGTGGCCCATTCTTGCAGACACTCCCTACAGAAGCTATGCAGACAAGGCAGGATTTTGGGGTCCCGGAAGTTCAGCATACAGATTGCGCACGTCAGGAACTGGTCATCAAAGTCGTCTGGCATGTTACTCGCCATCTTGTGGTGCCAAAGCTTGCGTCAGTGTTCACTGGCCGAGCGTATGTACGTAGCTGTTACTGTGTTAGTCGACACTTTCAGCGATCATGCAGCAGTCCTCCGCGATCCGCTCGAGCAAATTTCTTCTTGGAAGTTGGTTTCACTCGTATCAGGTGACCCCGTTGCTAGGTGATACCTGATGACGACATTATTTTCAAACTTGATCCATCAGGCAGTGCGCGTGACCTCTGAACTTTCAGGTCGGGCTAGGTGGGATACGGGTGGGGTAATGTATAATTTGGGTAAGTTTCCATTTACTCAGTGTTGGTCCGAACGTTTAGCCCCTTTTGTCATAACAGATAAATTGCTGTGTGATTCTGGACTTGCTCTTCAGGTAGATGTTTTGTAGCCTCCTTTTATGGGAGACACTACTAGTTGGGATGGATTGTAGGCCATTCTGCCGGGGACTTTGCTTTCTTAGTGTTGGCAGGCTTGACAGCCAGGATGAGAGTTGTAAGGAGGGACACACACTGCACCATTGCTGTTTTACTCATTTTTTTTATAATAATCATGTCAAGATACATTCGGTCCACCCCAGAACTTGCATTCTAACAGTCACATTTGCTGCATGTTAATCTAATTAGCGTTTAAATATGAAACTTATTTTGCAATTACTAGGTCTAAAAGAATGCATCATTTTTCAGCACCTCATGAGGATAATGTGCATGGTCCAATGGTTGTTCTTATATTTTTAGAATCATAAGTGTGAACAGTAAAGCCGTTTTTAATGACTAAAAGTTGGAAATGGCAAGTGGCTTTGGTGCTGACGATGTTTTATGTGATTTGAATAAAACAATTACTTGAACAAGCACATAACATATATTTTACCTGGTTTATTTACTGTTTAACATAGTTAACCAATAACATTTGGAACCACAGAACACAAGGTTGTGGGTTTAACTCCTGACTCTATTCGCCATTATTTTAAGCCTTTAACATGTCATATACATGTAGCTTGCATTACACTAGTGCCATGTATGACTTAAAGTTAAACATCATTCATTTTATGCAAAACCTTATAACAGCAAAAAAGAAAATGATAAACAAGAGATATGACATATGCTGATGTGCAATGGTGATTAGCTCGGTTATGGCCGTTCACATGTACCTGTACAGTTCTATACAATGTCCTATCCAGCACGCCACCGCTATGTAACCGTCAGTAGTCAGAGCGACTCCAGTGGCACACCCCCCTTTGACTGGTCCCACTCTCTGTTTGAATGTCCCGTCAGGCGCGAACACCTGAACACGGCCGTCTCCTCCGTTACCTACAATGATGTTACCTGCCGGGTCTGATGTTACACCGAATGGTTCTTGGAATTCGCCATCCTTGTCACCTTGTCTGCCAAAATCGAACTTTCGGTTTCCGTCCAGGTCAAACGCGACTACTTTGTGTGCGGTGACGTCTGTGACAAACACCACATCACGTGACTCGTCTACCGACACGAACACTGGCACCTGTAGCTGCCCCTTGCCGATCTCCCGGATGAGGCTCCCGTCAGGCTGCAGGAGGAGACATGACTGCTGTCTGAAGTCCGCCACCACCGAGCGACCGTCCTTCAAAACTGTCAAGCCATGCGGGCTACGCATACAGTCAGACTGAAACGTGTTCAAGAGTTTGCCATCCTTGGAGTAGCGTCTTAGTCCGAAATTTTCGCCCCACGACGTCACAAGAAACCTTCCCTGGGAGTCCACATCGATGCCGAATGGCTTCTCGCCTTCAACTGGGAAGCTACGCAAAGACTGACCTGTGTTCGCATTAAAGACTTGAACCCGCTTGTTCCCCCACTCCACGACTGCAATGTTGCCGTCCATGTCAACAGCGACACCTATCGGTACCTTCAGTTCCCCCACCCCGCTGCCCTTCTGTCCGATAGTCAACACTGGGTTCCCCTTCACGTCAACATCAAATGGACTTCCTGGTACATGTTGCGAGTTGACCTTGACCTCTAACCTATGGTTACCCGTTAGCTCAGGTGTGTACGAGATTTCCCACAAACCCCCGCTCTTCATCTGTACTTGTGTCAAGAACTTGGTCCCAGACGGGTCCTTCATGTTAGCTTCGACGGCTTTACAATTCGTAACAAAAGGGCGGCCTTCTTGGCTCATTGTCGTCAGCTCAGCGACGCACGGAAACCCCTGGACTGCTGGCTTCACAGAAACTTTGCACTTCGAAACGTCGACGCTTGTTCTTACGCCACCGAAATTGTCGACTTCTTTTTCGACGTCAACAATAACTGTGTTCTCGACGAACTGAAACTCGCTCCAGTCGGACTCCAGGTCCAGCTGTTTTGCCAGCAGAGTTTCCACCCTTGTTTGGACTTGGTTTCCCACCTCCAGAACGTGCACGTCACTTCCGTGTTCTACAGCCTGTTGGCAGAACGACTGTGCGCTCGTCAGTCCGGCTAACTCGAACTCTATCGCTTCCTTCTTCGCCTGTAGAAGCTTGCCGTCAGCTCGGCACTGTTCGTCAATCTGGCTCAAAATCTCCTGTTCACGCTTTTGCAGAAGGTCGGCAAGTTTACGGAAGTACGCCTTGGCCTGGTCTGTGGCCGCTTCTTTCGATGGCATCAACATAGAAATCTTTCTGTCAACTTCCTTTACAGCGTCTTGAATTTCCTTCAGGCGTGGGTCTATGTCTTGAAAAAGTCCTTGCAGTTCTGCCTTCCTTTTGTGAGCCACGGTGGCGATTTCTACGGGATTGTGATCTTTGCCTGGTCGATGGTCGACCACGGTACACGCCGTACAAACCAAAGCCTTGCAACTCTCACAGTAGAACTCTAGCTCATACTTCTTGTGCTTGTCGCAGTGTCGCTTACGATTAAATTTGCTAATAGCTTCCTCGGCCTTGAGGGTTTCTTCGGTGGTAACTTCGTGATCTTTGGAACACGGAAGGTTCCGGTGTACGCTGGTGCACGGCTCACACATTAAGGTAGCGCAATCCGCACACCAAGACTTCGACCCCTCGTCGTTCCCCCCGCACACCTGGCACGGCACACCTGGCTCCGCCCCTTTCTTGGCCGCCGCGAAGTCCAGCAGGTTGTTGACGTAGAAGTTGGTCCTGAGTCCGTCCACACCTTGGTCTGGTAGACTGGCCGGTTCGCGGCAGGTTGGACACTCCAGCGGCTGTTGTTTGTTTGCCCATTCTTGCAGACACTCCCTACAGAAGCTATGCAGACATGGCAGGATTTTGGGGTCCCGGAAGTTCAGCATACAGATCGCGCACGTCAGGAACTGGTCATCAAAGTCGTCTGGCATGTTACTCGCCATCTTGTGGTGCCAAAGCTTGCGTCAGTGTTCACTGGCCGAGCGTATGTACGGTAGGCTGTTACTGTGTTAGTCGACACTTTCAGCGATCATGAAGCAGTCCTCCGCGATCCGCTCGAGCAAATTTCTTCTTGGAAGTTGGTTTCACTCGTATCAGGTGACCACGTTGCTAGGTGATATCTGCTGACGACATTATTTTCCAACTTGATCCATCAGGCAGTGCGCGTGACCTCTGAACTTTCAGGTCGGGCTAGGTGGGATACGAGTGGGGTAATGTATAATTTGGGTAAGTTTCAATTTACTCAGTGTTGGTCTGAACGTTTAGATCCTTTTGTCATAACAAATAAATTGCTGTGTGATTCTGGACTTGCTCCCCAAGTAGATGTTTTCTAGCCTTCTTTATTTTTCATGGGAGACACTACTAGTTGGGATGGATAGTAGGCCATTCTGCCGGGGACTTTGTTTGTTAGTGTTGAATAAAAGCGGCAGGTCAGGATGAGAGTTGAAAGGAGGGACACACACTGCACCATTGCTGTTTTACTCAGTTTTTTTAATTATAATTATGTCAAGATACATTCGGTCTACCTCAGACCTTGCATTGTAACAGTCACTTAGTCACTTTTGTTAATGTCATTAGCGTATCAAGGAAACTTATTTTGAAATTACAAGTTCTAAACGAATGCATCATCTTCAGCACCTTAGGAGCATAAACTGCATGGTCCAATTGTTTTTTTTTTATATTTCTAGAATTATAAGTGTGAACAGTAAAGCCATTTCTAATGACTAAAAGTTGGAAATGGCAAGTGGCTTTGGTGCTAACGATGTTTTATGTGATTTAGATAAAACAATTACTTGAACAAGCATATAACATACATTTATACCTGGTTTATTTTCTATTTAGAATATAATTGTCTGGTATTTAACCAATAATACATGGAACCACAGAACACAAGGTTATGGGTTTATCTCCTGACTCTGTTCACAATTATTTTAAACCTTTAACATGTCATATAGCATGCATTGTATTAGTGCCATATTTGACTTTGAGGTTAAACATCATTCATTTTATGCAAGATCTTATAACAACAAAAAATGAAAATGATACACAGTACATTACAACACCTGGTCAAGAAGCACTGATGTGCAATGGCGATTTGCTCGGTTATGGCCGTTCACATGTACTTGTACAGTTCTATACAATGTCCTTTCCAGCACGCCACTGCTATGTAACCATCAGGAGTCAGGGCGACTCCAGTGGCACTCCCCCCTTTGACTGGTCCCACTTTCTGTTTGAAAGTCCCGTCAGGCGCGAACACCTGCACACGACCGTCTCCTTTGTTACCTACAATAATATTACCTGCCGGGTCTGTTGTTACACCTCTTTGTTCTTGGAATTCGCCATCATTGTCACCTTGTCTGCCAAAATCGAACTTTCGGTTTCCGTCCAGGTCAAACGCAACAACTTTGTGTGGGCTCTTGTCTGTGACAAACACCACATCACGTGATTCGTCTACCGATACGAACGCTGGCACCTGTAACTGCCCCTTCCCTATCTCCCGGATGAGGCTCCCGTCAGGCTGCAGGAGGAGACAGGACTTCTGTCTGACGTCCGCCACCACAATACGGCCGTCCTTCAGAACTGTCAAGCCATGCGGGCTGCGCATACAGTCAGGCTGAAACGTGTTCAATAGTTTGCCATCCTTGGAGTAGCGTCTTAGTCCGAAATTTTTGCCCCACGACGTCACAAGAAACCTTCCTTGGGAGTCCACATCGATGCCGAATGGATTCTTGCCATCAACTGGGAAGTTACGCAAAGACTGACCTGTGTTCGCATCAAAGACTTGAACCCGTTTGTTCCCCCACTCCACGACTGCAATGTTGCCGTCCATGTCAACAGCGACACCTAACGGTCTATTCAGTTCCCCCACCCCGCTGCCCTTCTGTCCGATAGTCAACACTGGGTTCCCCTTCACCTCAACATCAAACGGACTTCCTGGTACCTGTTGCGAGTTGACCTTGACCTCTAACCTATGGTTACCCGTTAGCTCAGGTGTGTACGAGATTTCCCACAAGCCTTCGCTTTTCATCTGTGCTTGTGCCCGGACGTCGGTCCCAGACGGGTCCTTCATGTTAGCTTGGACGGCTTTACTATTCGTAACACGCGGGCGGCCTTCTTGGTTCATTGTTGTCGGTTCAGCGACGCACGGAAACCCCTGGACTGCCGGCTTCACAGAAACTTTACACTTTGAAGCGTTGACGTTTGTTCTTACGCCACCGAAATTGTCGACTTCTTTTTCGACGTCAACAATAACTGTGTTCTCGACGAACTGAAACTCGCTCCAGTCGGACTCCAGGTCCAGCCGTTTTGCCAGCAGAGTTTCCACCCTTGTTTGGACTTGGTTTCCCACCTCCAGAACGTGCACGTCACTTCCGTGTTCTACAGGTTGTTGGCAGAACGTCTGTGCGCTCGTCAGTCCGGCTAACTCGAACTCTATCGCTTCCTTCTTTGCCTGTAGAGCCTTGCCATCGGCTCGACACTGTTCGTCAATCTGGCTCAAAACCTCCTGTTCACGCTTTTGCAGAAGGTCAGCAAGTTTACGGAAGTACGCCTTGGCTTGGTCTGTGGCTTCCTCTTTCGATGGCATCAACATAGAAATCTTTCGGTCAACTTCCTTTACAGCGTTCTGTATTTCCTTCAGGCGTGGGTCTATGTCTTGAAGAAGTCCTTGCAGTTCTTTCTTCCTTTTGTGAGCCACGGTGGCGATTTCTACGGGATTGTAATCTTTGCCCGGCCGATGGTCGACCACGGTACACGCCGTACAAACCAAAGCCTTGCAACTCTCACAGTAGAACTCTAGCTCATACTTCTTGTGCTTGTCGCAGTGTCGCTTACGATTAAATTTGCTAATAGCTTCCTCGGCCTTGAGGGTTTCTTCGGTGGTAACTTCGTGATCTTTAGAACACGGAAGGTTCCGGTGTACGCTGGTGCACGCCTCACACAGTAAGGTAGCGCAGTCTGCACACCAAGACTTCGACCCCTCGTCGTTCCCCCCGCACACCTGGCACGGCACACCTGGCTCCGCCCCTTTCTTGGCCGCCGCGAAGTCCAGCAGGTTGTTGACGTAGAAGTTGGTCTTGAGTCCGTCCACGCCTTGGTCTGGTAGACTGGCCGGTTCGCGGCAGGTTGGACACTCCAGCGGCTGTTGTTTCGTAGCCCATTCTTGCAGACACTCCCTACAAAAGCTGTGCAGACATGGCAGGATTTTGGGGTCCCGGAAGTTCAGCATACAGATCACGCACGTCAGGAACTGGTCATCAAAGTCGTCTGCCATGTTACTCGCCATCTTTTGGTGCTAAAGCTTGTGTCAGTGTTCACTAGTTTCACAGTGTTTGGTACGTAGCTTAGTCGACACGTTCAGCCTTCCACGAAGCTGTCCTCCGCGATCCGCTCGAGCAAATTTCTTCTTGGAAGTTGGTTTCACTCGTATCAGGTGACAAAGGCAAACCTGTCGCTAGGTGATACCTGATGACGACATTCTGTTCTATCTTGATCCATCAGGCAGTGCGCGTGACCTCTAAACTTTCAGGTCGGCCTTGGTGGGATACGGGCGGGGTAAATGCATATACAAAGAGGATTAGGTCTTACCAGCTGGTAAGACCAGGCCACGTTTGTTTATGTCTGGTTTGAACTAGCATTTACATGTACACTACCTGCCAGATACGTAACACCCCCACCACTAGCCTATCTTGGCCCGTCCCGTGCTTGGGGTCGTTACCCTGGAATTGGTGAGGCGTCAACAGGTGGGTAGATTGTGCTAAGATGGTATCGGTGGTACGTTGGGGAGCGTAACCAGACAAAAAAAAGCAACAACAACATATAAATCCATCAAACACCATTACACACCATTGGCGCTGGGACATGGAGATGGCATTAAAAAATCCCAGTACTAGTGTCTAGGCCTTGTAGAAGAATAGCGTGTAGGAGTTTTTGTAATGATATGAGATAAATCTGTAAGAAAGCTCATCGCCAATTCGGGATGTGCTCTCCAAATAGATGTTTTCCCCCAAGCAGAGGTTTGAGTTTTGGCTTATTTTTGGTGTGTTGATTTATAGGCTTTTTTATCGGGCTTTCTTTTTTGCACTGGTATCTTTTGTTATGCTATCCAAGTTCGTTAAATTATCACTGTGCCATGTGCGTCAGAAGTTTCAATTGCACACAATATGCTACACCATAACAGAGCGTTCAATATAAGAACGATCGAAACTAGACACATGAACGTCCTTGCTTATACGTGTTGCTCGAGGCCGCGAACTTTCGCATCGCATGACCTTTATACCTGCGAAGGAGCGTGTATGGGGTTTTGGTGCTAACACCTGCACCGTGACATATTCCATGAACCAAAAGAGCGTTTTGGTCAGGTATTAAGTTATATCATTACTAGCTTGCAAATGCGTTATAATAATTTCTAAAATGCCACGTTTTTAATATTGTGCAAAGGGTGACTTTATGAATACAACGCAGTCCAAAGGTCATGCACTTGTAGCTGGTTGGTCCAATGTCTATTATCGATTAATAGTACGTTTTCATGCGGTTATATTTTTAAATTGGTGGGGTGAGTTTGAAAGTGCTTTAATCCGTGCTAGTAATGTGTCGATATGGGGCATTTGGGTGATTGAAATTTCGCGCTTTCGGTCGATTACGTCATTCCGGACTTTCCGGGGTAGGGGAATCCCCCTCACGTACTCTCCCGAAACTGACAAGAAACAAGATGGCGGCCAGGGGCAACAACGCTCCGAAACAGCTGTACAGTATTTTGTTCAAAATAGCTAGGCAACTGGACAAAAATGACGAGTTAGCGGGCATGAAGTTCCTGTGCACTGATATAATTGGTCACGGTAGACTTGAAGAGGTCGACACGCCCCTAACGTTGTTCAGAGAGCTGACAAAAATCGGGAGTATCACAGAAACTGACTACAGCTTCCTTGAATACCTTCTGGGCGAACATGGGATCGGCCGTCATGACCTCTTAGCTCTACTCACAACGCTTCGGAATGGTAAGTTTTTATTCTTAGCAAATGTAGATTGACGTTCCCATGGCAAACAATGCGATAATGTCAGGACAATCCTAAGGTTCAAAAGTTAGAATGCCAGTCATATGACATGTCAAGGTCCGGATCCACGCCCCCCCCCCCCAACATGCGTTTACACTTACTAGTACCTCCATGTTTACATTTTAAGCCCTTTTCTGATAAAACCAATCTAAAAAAACTGTGTATAAATTCCTTTGCGCGTGTGTGTATGCATGTGTGTCTGTGTGTGTGTGTGTGTTTCAGTGTGTGTGTTTCAGTGTGTGTGTGTGTGGTGTGTTTCAGTGTGTGTGCATGTGTGTGGTGTGTTTCAGTGTGTGTGTGTGTGTGTGGTGTGTGTGTGTGTGTCAGTGTGTGTGTGTTTCAGTGTGTGTTTGTGTGTGTGTGTGTGTGGTGTGATTGTAACAGTAATGTGGCCTAGCTGAGAGACTAATCTTGTTCTCTATTGTAACAGAGCAAAACACACATCAGCTAGTATCACCACATCAGCCCTCCTCAGCAAACCAGTTTCAACAGCCTCCAGATCCTTCAGCAAGACCACCTCTTCCAAATCTGCAGACTGCCCCAGCTATAGCACGGCCACCGATATCATCCCCCCAACATGCTGATGCCCCAACAAGTCCTCAACAAAGTACGTCTACCCCAGGAACAGGCAGCCCACATCCTGGACCCCTTGCCAGCCCTCCTACACCGCCACATGACACCATCCCTAAACAAGTCCCCATGCACGCTCCCACAACAGGTAACAGTGTTTCAAATTTTAACTGTTGTCGAATTTTAATGTGTAAGAATATTTTATTATGTATTAGAATTTTAAAGTAATGTGAAAGAAATCAAGAATTTTGTTAAACTTTTTAAAAAAATTGTAAAGGAGCATCAATGAACTTAGGTAATACTTAGTCACTATTTAGAGTTAGTGTTTTAAATTTGTTGTTGAATTTTAATTGTAATTTTAGAGTAATGTTAAAAAAGTCAAGAATTCTGTTTTTAAAAAAATGTAAAGGAGCATGCAATCAACAGGTAACAGTGTTTCATTAATTATTACTGTTGTCAAATTTTGATGTCGAATTTTAATTGTAATTTTAGAGTAATGTTAAAATCAAGAATTCTGTTTTTAAATGTTTGTAAATGAGCATACAATAAACAGGTTTACAACAGTGTTTTGAATTTTAATTGTCAGATTTTATTTTAGAGTAATGTTAAAGAAATCGAAAAATTTGTAAAGGAGCATGCAATTCAGTTGTTAGGCTGTGAAATGCTTCTTTTGTGTGTTTAATTCATTCATCTATTCATTCTTTCATTCATTCAATCATTTTTTTCTTTCTTTCATTCATTCAGGTATGTCATCTTACCAAACCCCTCCGAAACAGCTCCTATGCCATGGGGAAGTGCAGTCCCACTTGGAGGATAAACAGACAACCACGCATGAAATGGGAGAGCAATGGGAGCATGCTAGTGAAGCACAACGAAGCGAGCATGAAGATATCCCTACATCTCCCAAACAGTTCCATGGCTCTGACACAGTGGGTTGTCTCTACAAAACCCCCACATTGACTGAGTTCCGCCAGCAAACTCACAATGCTACAGCTGCCATACACAGGGCAAAGCATCAACAAGAAGAAATCCAGAACGAAGAAAAGATGACAAGTGTAGCAGAGATACAAGAGCAGTTGGGCCAACTTCACCTTCCAGACACAGTAGGTAGCATGGACAAGACCACCAGCCATGCCGAGATGCAGCAACAACTCCACGCAGCTCAACTTCCTGCAGTGCCTGCTGGAATCCACCAGGGGGCATTGTCAAATGAAGAAAACGATCTCGACCTGATGGAAGTGAACAAACAGTGGGAAGAGGAGCAAGCTATAGCCTCCTCACAACAAGCTGGAATACTTTCAAGAACACCACTACAGCAACAGTCTAACAACAGCAACACCCCCACCCAGTCTTCCCCTAGTACTACGCGTAATCTCGATGACGATGTAGTTGAAGATTCGCCAAGTGACATGCAGGGTGTCAAAGAAGCTGCATCTTCCACAGAGTATAGGACACTCCATGACATCCCCTACCAGAGCCCAAGTAGCAACTTCAGCAGCAACATTGGCCAATCTCCAGTCCTCAGTGGTAGCAAGTCATCAGAAGAAGACCTGGAAGTTGACTCACCCACCAGGCCTGAAGATCTGGAGACAGGCCCGGTGGTTAGACCTAAGGTAAGGCCTGTGTCTAAATCTCCTGAGGCGATGAGGGCAAGTCCTAACTGGCAAGACGTGGCACAAGATTTGCCAGAAGGGCAGAATTCGGAAAAGGTAACTCTGAGAGAATACCAGAAGGAGTTAGCAAGATCTGCTCTTCTAGGGAAGAATGTGATCATCACGTGTGCTACCGGCAGCGGTAAGACCCTAGTCAGCGCGCTGACGGCTAAAAAAGCCTGGAGCGAAGCTAAGGCAAGAGGTCTCCCCTTCAAGGCCTTGTTCATCGTGCCTATCAGAAACCTCACCAAGCAGCAGAAGGATCAGTATGAGATGCTCTTCCCTCTGGGAGTGGTTCAAGAAATCGGGGACACCGAAGAGCTCAGCGAAGCCCTGAAGAAAAAAGATATCGTGATGCTGACCGCACAGATTGTTGTCAACTCCCTGAAGGCGGGGACTCTTGATCTCACCGACCTTGATCAACTCATCCTTGATGAGTGTCACCACACCACCCTGGACCATCCCTACAACCAGATCATGCGCCACTATCTCATGAGGAAGGATGAGCTCAAGACGGCAAATCCCCAACAGAAGAGGTTACCACAGGTTTGTTGTTTGTTGTTTAATATTATCATTGTTTACTGAAGGAAAACATATTGTTTTTGCTATGTTTCTTCTTCCTCTTCTTCTCTAAACAAGTAAGGTCAATGACCTGAACCAGACGTCTGTCACCATGGTAAATGTTGCAATTCTATAATATATCTATATTGGACGGATTTAGACCCGTCACCATATAGATAAATTTGTTTGATTGAGAATTTTAGAAGTAAGTAATTTCAGGAGTTACTAATTACACCAAATTAAGGCAAAGGCAAACATGTATTTGCTTAAGTTTGCAAATGTTACCTTTCTAGTTGTATGTATTGTAGTTCTTTTGCAGATTGCTTCTGATTTTTTTTTACTACAGGTCATCGGCCTGACTGCATCCCTCGGCGTTGGAGAATCAGGGAATGCTCTACAGCACCTGATCAGGCTGTGCGCCAGTCTGGACGCCAGCCGTGTGGACCACGTAAAGGAGAACAAGGGAGAGCTGCGTAGGCACGTCTTCACGCCAGACGCCATCCACATCCTGTCGGGCCAGCCGCGCAGGCCGCACGACCCGTTCAGCACAGCGCTGGACAGCCTGATGCAGAGACTGGAGAGTCGGGTGTTCACGGACACGTGTCCGTACGACCGCGGGACACAGCAGTGCGAGAACTGGATTGTGGAGAGGAAGAAGGAGGCCGAGGCTACGTCCGCGAGAAAGGAACTGATCGTGGCCGAGTACCTCTTCAACTTTAACAGGTGGGTATATTCATTAAATTTGTGAATCTTATCTCCAAAATAAGGTATAGCCCCTTAAAAGTATTTTTCTTTGCTACTTTCTTTGCATTAAATTAAAAGCAACATGTGTGAAATTTTTAGGCTGCAAATTATTTTCACTCACAATTTATTTGTTTGTTTGAACCATTCTGTATTCATGCATGAAAAGGCCACTTTGCAATGAGGTCATGAGAGAAGAGGTAAGGGTCAGACATTCAATGTAAATTACATGTGATTCATTTAAAAGTCCTGAAAAATATTAATAGCTGCTTGAAAACATATTTTGTGTGTAATTCACTCTATTTTGAAATCCTTTTTTATTTTTTAAATCTTTATTTTTTTTACTTTTATTATCTTTTTTGAATGTCTTAAATTTTTCTACTTTCTATGATTTTTTATTTTAATTTTTTTTCATGTTTCATGTTATTTTTTATTTTTTTCTATTTATCCAGGGCACTGAGAATGTACACCAAACTGCGAGCAGTGGACGCTATCGACTACCTCGATGATAAGATCTACCAGTCCCGTGAGGAGTTGAAGGGCCCGCCCAAACTTCCGATAGAGAAGTTCTGCTACCAACAGTACGGTGAGATCAGGGATGAGCTCTGTGTGTATGCGGAGGAAGAGGAGACCAAGTTTCCCAACCCCATGCTGCAGCAACTCAGGAGCCTACTCATTCAGAAGTTCAACGAGGAAGAGTCCTATGGTTTGTTTTGGTCCTTCTTAAGGCCACACCAATTTAATTTCTTGGTTAACGGATTCGCCCGCTTCATTTTTTTCTGATTTGCAAATAAAAATAAAATTTCAGAATCAACTGCAAAATGCTCACAGACTCATATTTTGCCCTTAACAGTTGAAAACAGTCCTTTTCTTCCTAGATGTTACAGTTATTCCATCTTTCAATGCAGTGGTATCATTAAAAGTTCAAAATTCATTGTTTAATGCCTAGGCCTGTTTTTATTTTTTATTTTTTTCACCCGCCCGCTCCATTATTTTTCTAGAAAATCCGTTAACCAAGAAATTAAATTGGTGTGGCCTAAGCACATCATATACGGTAAATATACTGTAAAACTCTTCATGTTCGCGGTAGCAAAATTTCACGGTCAGAGAACATGTTCGTGAAACTATATATTCGTGGTAATGAATACATTTGCGTTACAGTGACCACAAAAACAGTAAATATTAACACTACAAAATTGTGATTTACAGTGGCATATTTTGAAAACCAACATTGTCTAATTGAATGTTAAAATGTTATTACCTTGATGTCTAACATAGCAGAAGGAAAACATACTGTTTTTGCTAAGTTTCTTCTTCTTCTCCTCAAAAGACATAAGGTCAATGACCTGGACCAGACGTCTGTCACCATGGTAACTGGTGCTGTAGCAACATTAGGTTACAATAGGTTACATTATGTAGCAAGGCAGATCGAGCTACAGGTGTTTGTCACAATAAACACGTACTTACATGTAGTATAATTTTTTATTATGAATATGTTTGAGTAAGAATAAACAGAGCAGTAGTTGTTCAGCTAGCATTAGACATGTGAAGGTTAAAACATAAATGTTACCTTCTAGTTCAAATCTCATTTCAAGTTCTTGACCCTACACAGGTATTGTGCTAACACAACAGCGTAGGGAGACAGAGGCTATTATCCGGTATGTGGAGGAACAAGAGGTGCTAGATGGGAAGATGCGTGCCAAGCGCCTGGTGGGGCAAGGAAAACTGGAGGACAAGGCTATCACTGATGCACAGCAGATGGCAGTGTTGAAGAGTTTCAGGAAAGGTAAGGCAACATGTATTTGTTTTAATTTGATAGAACTTTTTGCTAAGTCTAATTGTTGTGTATAATGTTTGTAATGTGTGGAGCACAGCATCAGCTGAATTTGCTGGCTGGTGCTCCACGTCCAATTTGAAGTAAGAAGGAAAGATTAATAAAGAAAGAAGAAAGAGAAAGAAAGGGAGAGAGTGGGAGAAAGAGAGAGAAAGAATGAAAGAAAGATTATACCGGTACATGTATTTCTCTGTCTATAGTTTTTAGTTCTCGCACTAAAAACAGTCAGTCAGATAATAAGAATAATTATGATGATAATAATGATGATGATAATAATGATAATGATGCTAATGATGATAATGACATTAATGACAACAATGATAATAATGATGATAATGATAATAATAATGGCTTATTCCATTCAATTATTCATTGAACAGCAAATCCCATTTGGCAGCCATAGTCTGAATTGCATGGGGTTTCTTGACACAGTTTATATACCAGATTAAATCCTTATATGATGATTATGTATTATGTCTGAATGATACATTTAGTTGTCAAATGTTAAGTATGATGAAGGATGATTTCAATCTATTTCTTAGGGATTAAATCTGAGGATGGCTGCAACCTGCTGGTGGCAACAGATGTGGCCCAGGAGGGTTTGGACATGCCTAAGTGCAACTTTGTCATCCGTTACGACTTTGTCTCCAATGAGATTGGATCTGTGCAGGCTCGAGGGAGGGCGCGCGCCAAGGACGCAGAGTGCTACCTCCTGGTTACTGCGTAAGTGGAACAAAAACCACCTAGAAAATGTCAACACACAAAAAAACAAATCTGTAATGATTATGTTTATCTTTGCAGAAGGAAACATAATTGTATTTGCACTGTTTCTTCGTCTTCTTTCTCTTCATCTTCCCAAACAATTCAATGACCTGGACCAGATGTCTGTCACCATGGTAACTGGTGCTGTAGCAGACATCCTGTGGTGTTGGGTTACATTATGTAGCAGGGCAGAGTTGGAGGGGCTGGTCACCATATATCACATATGAGTGTGTTTGAGTAAAAATAAACAGAGCAGCAGTGTGGTAGGTAAAACCAGGTGAAGGCTAACATTTACGTTACCTTTCTAGTTATCTAGCTGTGTCACCAATTGCTTTGTTGATCTGATTGCAGTGGCTCTACCAATGAGAGGAGAGAACTGGAGAACCAAGAAAAGGAGAAGTTCATGATGGAGGCACTGGAAGAAATGGACAAACTAACTGAGGTGGACTTTGACACCAGAGTCAAAGCAGAACAGGTATTACTAACCTTATCTTAACCTTATGAATCATCATATTGTATTTTCCTGATGTATAAAAGTGACACTGATATTACAGTATCTTTTTTGTCTTTACAGTACAGAACCTTTTTTATTTCATTGAATAACATAATTTATTATGTTTACCTTTGCCGAAGAAAACATATTGTTTTTGCTCTGTTTCTTCTTCTCTAAACAAAGTCAATGACCTGAACCAGAGGTCTGTCACCATGGTAACTGGTGCTGTAGCAACACCCTGTGGTTTTGGGTACATTATGTAGGACAGAGTTGGAGAGTCTCGTCAGCATATAACTGAATAATACATTATTAAATGTCTTTGAGTCAAGAATTAACAGAGCAGTACTGTAGTTTGTTGGGCTATACCATGTGAAGGTAAGCATTATGCATTTGCTTTGCAAAAAAAGTATATTATGGTCCAATATGCCAATGTACATTGTTCTTTTTTTCTGACTGTAACTTTTGAATGAAATTTTCTACAGATAATACAGTTGGAGAGCTGGAAAGCAAAGCTGAGGAACAAATCCACAAGAAGCAGTGCCATGGAAGCGAAAGATGTTTACGTGTACTGTAGACAGTGTAACTACACTGTCTGTGACGGCACACAGATCATTCAGAAAGGTTCCAACTACATCTGTCGGGAGCCATCTCTTCCTAAGAAATGTCAAATAGTCTACAAGGCTACTCCACAAGTATTTCGGACCACAGACAACATTGGTAAGTACATAATTATGTAACTGGAAGACTTTAATTCAGTTTATCATGGAAGTTCATCTGTGTTTGTAGTATTAATAGTACAATGCTGAACTTCATTACACAGTGGTACACAAGGATCAAAATTTCAACAACCACTGTTGCCTCCATCAGGATAAGTAATGACCAATCGCTGAATGTAAATCTGCAAAAGCTACAGACATGTGACCTTATTCATATGAGACTTTATGGACTTGATGTCAGCAATTGGTCAAACATGCCAGATGATTTGTGTTGTCCATCGTCTTTGTTTAGCGATAGCTGGAGTGCGCTGATATATATAAATATACATTATCCTCTTTTATACCTTTCAAAAAAATAGCCCTGTTCAATTCAGTTTATTTTATTGTATCCAGTCCAAACAGCCATGCCAAAGATGATATCCAGGAGCTTTGTTTGCCGCTTGCCACAAAATGTACTTATTAATATGTACCTCCATTCCACTGTCTTGACAATAATATCTGAGACCAGGTACCAATTCTAACTTAGGCTAGTTGGCCAAAGAAACATTTTTGATTCACATTCCAGGTATCATTTTCTGTGGCAACCCAACCTGTAGGAATCAGTATGGTCCAATCATCAAGTACAAAAAAGGACAGGTAAGTTCAACTTCTCAGTACTGGGGCTGCCTTCTGGTAGCAAACTTGTTTTAGCTGTTAATTAAGGCAAAATGTTTCTTTAAAATTTCACTCCGTAGTTTAGCCATGTACATGTAAAGCTGGAGGTCCCATGTTTGAGGAGAGCCACACCTTGAGCATGTTAAAGATCCCACCATACTTATCAAATAGAGCAGGGGTCATTCCTTGTGTGAGTGGTTCAAACCTTACAGTCTGGTCTCAGTTGACATCTTGAAGAGGTGGTAATCACCTGTTACATGTACATGTATGTCAACCCTTCCTGGTAAATCTTCATATTATAAAATTACCAAATGAAGTGATGAATTTTGTCCCATGTTCCCTTCCAGGAGGAGACTGCCTATGGGATGAATGTGAAGAGTTTCCTGTTTGACTGTGGTGATGGACAGCTGAGGGCCATCTCCAAGTGGTCCAAGGCACCATTCCCCATCACTGAGGAACCTTATGTATAAAACGATACTGTAAATCACTTTATGATTGCGGTGGCAAAAGTTCACCATCTGAGAAAAATGGACATGTTCACAGAACTATATGTTCATGGTGGCGGCAGGTGCAACAAACAAAGTTGACAATAGTTAGAAGTAATCCCAAAAATCACAAATATAAAAGTACCACGAAAAAATCATGATTTACAGTATCCACCAGACATCTGCTTCAAAGACAAAAAGGGAGTTCTCGATACCTGTCGCTGTTTTAATTATCATTATTGTTCAAGTGGTGATAGCAATTTAGAGTTTATTGTCACTATGCTGCATATTGGAAATTTTATTTCAGTTTTCACTTTGTGCAATTCTTGTCCACTTTCTGTCGTGTTACTATAATAATTACGTTCCACTAGCTTTGTAGTCACCAAATTAGTCACCAAAAGAAGAGTTGTAAGACATGTAACTTCTGTGTCCATAATATCACCAGGGTCCATAATATCACCACCTTGAGAAATAGTGTGCTTAAAGATATTTTTACTGCAACATACTTTTGGTATGTACATTTGATGTGTGAAGGAGTGCATACCAAAAGTATGTTGCAGTAAAAATATCTCTAAGCACACTGTACCTCAAGGTGGCGATATTATGGACTATGGTAATATTATGGACACAGATGTTATAGCTAAAGCATCTACATGTGTAATGCTTTGACAATCAGTTCATCTGGCTGTTTCTATGGCATGTAAGCCTTCGGTGTAAGTCTTTTACCTTTGCATGTACATGATCTGTATTGTATATTGATACTTCTCTAAAAGATTTTCCTAAGATGTTGCATGGTAGATGAATTTGAACTGTAAATTTCTTTTTATCAGTACCCAAAAGTATTACATTTAGGCTAAATGGTAAATTTCACAAATTTTAAAAAGTTGATTGCTGTTTAACAGCATCAAACTATTTTACCTTAGATATCAAACCATTTAAAGGAATGTAGTGGGAACGGTTTTAATCTTTATGCCTGTATTCTGTATATACTGCTTTTACTCTGAAGTCAGAATTGAAGGCAAAAATTGCTGTCTGAGACAGCTTTTTAATGTCATGTTGCTCTATATCTATATCAATGTCAAGTTATGAATTCTAATTAGTAATTGGGCAAAGCCTTTTTAGTTATTGTAGATGCAAAATGATGGGTATGCCTCAATGGATTTGTTTTAATTGTATGCTGCAACAGTTAATTACTAGTATCCCATTGTCTAGATAATATCTGGTGGGAATGTTTCAAGAAACACACTAATTCTTTTAGTAATACTTTGTTCTGCAATGTATCTTAAAAATGGGGCAAAGCCTCTCTTATTATTACAATCGTCGATGCTAAATGATGTGTTTTATTTGCTTAACATTATATGCTGCTACATTACAGTACAGTAAGTAACTGTACCTATAGATTCATAATTCTGTTGACCAAACCATCTCTGATTGCAATGTTACAGCCTTTTTTGAAGAAGAAACACATTGATTTTTTTTAGTTGTACTTAGATATGCTCTGCTATATATCTTAAAATGTACTTCATTTTTAACTGTACTACTGTCTTATCCTGTTCATATTGACATATTTACATACTAGCAAAAACCAGTGGCGAGATGGTGTGAATACAAGAATACATTGCAGCGGTTTAAAAAAAACTTGAACATTGTGTAGTGATTTTTTTTATTAAGGATCTCAGTAAGTTTAACACAACATATAGGATGAAATACGAAATATAATTTCTCAATGCTTAGTATCACTTCAGATGGACTAAAAGTGTATAGCAAAGATATGTTTAAACGGTTAATGTTTCAAAGAAGAAAAGTATCCTTCTATGGGGGTTTTCAATCCCAAAAGTTTCAAATTGAATTCTAATAGATTTTATATTTATCTTAATCAGTATTAGGCCACACCAATTTAATTTGTTGGTTCTCGGATTTTTTTAGAAAAAATATGAAGTGACAGGGTGAAAAAAATAAAAACATGTCTAGGCATCCTATTATAGTCCCAAATGCTACCGTAGGAGCCATGAAGTGAACACAAAAGGCTGGGTTAATATTTTAAACAATGAAAACCACTGCATTCATAGATGGAAATACTGTAACAACTAGGAAGGACTTTCCGCGACTGCTAGGGGCAAAATATGACCATTTTTTAGTTGATTCAGAACCAGAATGTTTTTTTTTTTTTTTTTGCAAATCAGAAAAAAATGAAGAGACGAATCCGAGAACCAACAAATTAAATTGGTGTGGCCTTACAGTGTAAGTGATTGGGTGTGAAGGAAGTCATATTTATGACACATGACGCAGACTGTCCGTGTAGATGTACTCCAGCGCGCGGAACGGAGACAGCAGCTTACAGTAGTGCATCCCGTCAAACCCGAACCACGCGTCCAGACCCGTCACCAGGGCCGGGCTCGTCACCTGTAGGGCAGCCGTACAATACAATTATACACTATACTGTTACAGTAGTGCATCCCGTCAAACCCGAACCACGCGTCCAGACCCGTCACCAGGGCCGGGCTCGTCACCTGTAGGGCAGCCGTACAATACAATTATACACTATACTGTTACAGTAGTGCATCCCGTCAAACCCGAACCACGTGCACGCGTCCAGACCCGTCACCAGGGCCGGGCTCGTCACCTGTAGGGCATGGTACAATTAAGGGTTAATGGGTGTGATAAAGCCTTTTCAGTTGCTATAACCACCTCATGAAGCCACCATATTCAACGAGAAAGGGCGGGCCATTAATGCTACTATCATATAGCCTATCAAAACTTACACAGTAAGAGTGACACGTTCCTGTATAACACATAGTTCCATCTGGAGTCACCTGAGGTCACTGGGGGAGGGTCGTGTTCTATCTGGGTCAAAGGCAGGGAACAGGTATTCTTATGGGAGTCACCCGAGGTCATTGCAAAGTTATTTTTGGATGTTTAAGAACAGAATCGTGTTCTATTTGGGTCACCTGAGGTCATATGGGGTGATTATTGGGTTGTTCAATGTATGGACTGGGATGAATAATGACCCGGTTTTGACTATTTGTGACATTACGACGTCATAAGGAATGTGGGATGGAGCCTTCTGATTGGTCAACGTCACCCGGCTATATGATAATACAGTATAGCTGTAGCAGAGAATGTAAATATTAGCCGTAATGATTCGTACGTAATTTGTATGTCTTGTGTGTGTTTGTTTTAACGTTTAAACAAGCTGCTTGCAAAATCAATGTTGTAATGGCAGATAATGGACAAAACATGTATAATAACGTATCCAAAGTAAAGGTATGGCTTTAGCTATAGGTTTGTGGTGAATGCAGTCAATGGAGGTTAAACGCCTTAGAAACATCTAAAAGTAAAGATTCTCTTCTCACAACCACAATTTCATTTGCTATCATTTGAGGTCAGCGAACATTTGCTTACACAGGTGCAAGTTCTTTCAACAAACTGCCGGCAGACATAAGACAGATCCCAACCCTGAAACGCTTCAAGGCAGCTGTTAAACAGACCTCTGACCTCCACTGATTTAATGATTTGTACATTTTTGTTCAGTTGTTTATATGTTTATATATGTTAACTTTTCAGTTATACTGATTTTCAGCTATACTGATTTCTGTTAACGTTTGTTACTTGATTGTATAATTTACTTTTATACAATTTGCTTTATGTTATGTTATATTTGTTTGTGACCCTGGGCCCTCTTGAAAATCAGCAATCTTATGCTGTAGAGGCTACCCAGGTGTTTATAAGATGAAATAAATAAAATAAAATCATTACAACTTGTCAGCCGATTTTGCCAAGGCAAAATGAGATCTACTAGGTAACAATTGTGGTTGTGAGAAAAAAAAAACTTTCAAGTGTTTAATTTCAAGAGTTATAGCCTGTGTTGTCATTTTTTTAATCAATGCACTTTATATCACAATGCATTTACCAGAACGATTGCAAACAGTTATTGGAACATTCATCATCATCGCTCAGCTCCACTTCCCCTTGTCGCTAGCAAGATTGGCTATCTGCTTCGCCGACGGTTGTAGTCGTCTTCCCAAAATTGCTGCAAATATTGAAAGTAGGAGGTAGGCTGTCGTCCTCATCTGCGTCTGCCGTGAGAGGGCTGGTAGAGGGCATACATGTGTATTCTCATGTTTCCCATAAAGTTTAGCTGTCTCAGTTGCACATGCTGAATCAGCTGGAACATTAGGTACAAAGGAACACCCACCTTAACTGTTCCATCCCCCTGGTCCTCAAACGTGAGCCCTCCTGACAGCCAGCCTGACCCCGTACTCTTCATCTCGTCATCCGCGAACGTCAGGTGGTGACCCTTCTGCTGGTACCTGGTCATGGCGGTGTTGGACGCTGCGGTGGAAGCAATCTGGAAAGCCATCTGGAAAAAAGACAAAAGGATCTGGATATAATGACAATGACAATGAACTTTATTGCATATTCACACCCTACATGGGCCAAATGCACTAAGTTAGATAACCTGGGTACTGATATGGAAAAAACAAGTGTTACGTTTCTGTGCTACGTCTCTATCCACAGGATCTATCTACAGGACCTATTCTCTCTTTTTTGAAACGTGTGGAGAAATTTACATAGTTTTTCATTTACATCGTAGTGCTTAGATGTCATGATATGTTTGAACAGTTCTATTTTCGGTAAGTATGTACATTTCTTTTCTAGACTCATTCCTCAAGCTAAAGCCCGTCTGTCGAACGCTAGCCGAACGCCCGGGGACCATGATTAGGAGTCGGCGCAAAGTCGGCTGGCGTTTGGCGAATTCGGCTACGGTTCGGCTGCCAAATGTTTCAAAATGTTTAAAACATTGAGGTTCGATCATAGTTGGCTGGTTTTCGACCGTAAGTCAGGAAAACACCAACCATCCATCCAGGATTTGGTGTTTTGGGCGTGTTCAGGGGTTAAATTTGACTCCAACTTAACTCAAATTCGTTTCGATTCGTACAGAAAGGTAGGCGTGGTCTAAATCTGGTCAGAACGCTCCAGAACGTCACCTGAACCTGGTCGGTTGGTGTTCGGGAACAGATCGGGGAAATGTCGTGAATGTGTGTACACACCTGGTTCAAGTCCTTACACGTGATTGGACTGTTGTAGTCTCCCGGACCCAGCTCCTGCACTACCGCTGACTGCCTCTTCATCTTAGTGGACAGCATGTTTGTGGACACGTACGGCTCCGAGTTGTCGATGGGGTTCAGCGGATAGTCCAGCTTCGTGTAGGTCTGTACAGTCACCATGTCTCCTTCCTTCTCTACTTTGGGTTTGTTGTCTCCCAGTTGTAGGATGTTGTCGACGACTTTGGTCTTGACCGTGAGCTTGCTCTGTAACGCTGCCGGAGCTCCGATGATGCTCTGCTGGGCTGTGGTGACCCAGGGCGAGGTCTTACCGTCATAGTCGAGAGCGGAGACGATGTCGAAAGGGGCCAGAATCCTTCCCGTGACATTCCTGTTCCACAACGGGAATACAAGTATTACGTCAATGGTACTTAAGTAACTTGTGCATCTTCCGTAACATTAAAACTACCACGCAGTGTCGTTTCACATTTTTCAAAAGCCCCAAGTGCTTTTCAGTAACACGTATTCGCAAAGCTCCCATGTAGTGCTTTTCAATATGAAGTGTTTTTGAAAAACCCCATGTACAAAATGCAGTACTCAAAACCCCCATACAGTGCTTTTCAAGGATCGCCCTATCATAAGTGCAAATTTTCGCACCTTTGACATGATCGACGCCACCCTGTATTTGGCGCCCTCTTATAATATCCCCAAACAGATCTTTTGGTGGCTGCGAAGATGCATTTGCCGCAGACATTTACATGAGTGCCGAAATGGTAACTGCCTGGCCAGTGGATACCGCCACCAAAAGATTTGCGTTGAGATTAGCTCTCTTACACTCTTACACTTTAGCGGTCAGAAGTTGGACTTTCTACTTACTACATAGTAAACATTCTACTTACATCTGAGTCCGCAGGTGTTTAACCGCTGCCGCCTGCATGGCCGCTGTGTTGTTGGGACTGTTGGCCACCATGAAGTTGACGGAAGAGTTGGCTATCAGCCTGTGCGCCTGCTCCATGGTCATCTCGGCGGGAAGGTCCATGTTCAGCACGTTTGAAGGCATCGGTCCGGACGCGATCTGGAGTCAATACACAGCTCATTCCAGTAGGCATAGCCATAGACCGATCCAAAATGCCCATCACAATTAAAAGTTCAACCAATGAGAGAATGGCAATTAGCGGTATGACCAATGAGAGAGTGGCTGCATGTCCGTCAAATATTTCCATTTCTATGTTTTGACGAAGGTGAGCGGGGCTTAACAATCGGTCCATTGTGTGGCCTTGGCCATGTTGATTTAATTATACGGATGACATCCTCTGGGAACCCAAAAACTGATGCGAGCGTGCGAATAAAAAAAGGTGTGGCAAAGAAGTTATTATTATGCAATCTACGTGGTCAGGAAGGTTGAACAATCATGACTAAACACACATAGTATGGTAGTACTCCTTATTTTCAGTTCTTCACATTTTCTTCTTTTCCTTAGACTTGAAACTGATGTTGGCATTCTACGACATCGTTTTCCAGTACTAAGTTTTTTGCAATTTACGGCATATCTTTGCTCATTTTGCAGCTGCTTTGTACCATTTACAGTATATGGTTGAAACTATTTTTTTAAATTGACGAAAATTCGTGCGCGCGTGGATGCCATCCATATAATCAAATCAACATGGACTTAACTGTATAAAATTGTATTCGATGTTTCCTGTCAAAAGCGACCGAGACGAATACAAGATCACCATAACGGCCATACTTACGTGTCCGTGGTTCAATCCAGGTACAACGACCACCGGTTTCTGGTACACATACGCAGTGGAAAAGTTGCCGTCCATGGCTACAAACTCCCTGTGAAGAAAACGAAATAGGATAAAATACGTGTTACATGCACAGTCAAGAAAATTGGTAACTTACGATTATCAATATGAAACACTTTATACAGAAATACAGAGATTTTGAAATAAATTCTTTCTCTGACGACGCTCTTAAACATCTTGGTACAACTTAGTACAGTTAGTCTTTTCAAATTAAATGTTTTTTTTTCATATTCCAACATTTGATGACTTACACAGTAACTTCCAGGACAGGTCGACAATACTCATTTTCACTTGAGTTAAGTGAGGACTGTAAGTGTAAAGTGCCTTTGCCAAGGACACAAGATCGGTGGCATGTCAGGACTCGAACTCGGTACCTCTTGGTTCTAAGTCGTGTGGCGTAGCGGTAGCGTCTTCGTCTCAGAACCAAGAGGTCTCGAGTTTGAACCCCACCTTATCACCGATCTTGTGCCCTTTGCAAAGGCACTTTACACGACTTTCTTCACTTCACTCGGGTGAAAATCAGTACCTAGCTTCGGTTAGGGACGTCCCTCGGATAGGTTGTTAAATGGAGGTCCCTTGTTTGGGAGAGCCACTTTCCACGCACGTTAAAGAACCCACCACGCTTATCGAAAAGAGTAGGGGACCTTCCCGGTGTGAGTGGTTCAAACCTTACAGTCTGGTCTCGGATTTGACTAGCCTGGATGCCAGACCCAAAGCACACTGGACACAAAATATCTCAGTGTGCACACTGAGATATTTTGTGTCCAGTGTGCTTTGGGTCTGGCATCCAGGCTAGAATTTGACATCTTTGAAGAGGTGATAGTCACCTGTTATGTCAAACCTTCCACAAATGTGGTAAATAAAAAAATAAAGAAAGCTGACCTGTACTTTTTCCAGGAGTACCCCAGTCTGACCAGACCGTCCAGATCGCCGTTGAGTGTGAGTACGGGGACGGGGAAGGTCGACATGGGGTAGGAGCTGGTCAGGTACGACCCCCACAGTAACATGCCCTTCGCCTGGCGGGGGTTGTCAGACAGGTACATCTGCAGGAACGTTCCTACCAAGGAAATAAATGTCGATTGACAATGAACTTTATTCATGCCCCACATGATCCAAATGCACTAGGTTAGATGACTGGAGTACAATGGTATATTACTGTGTGTCTTTATCTACAAAATCAATCAATCATCCGCAGGCAGGATCAACAAGATCAACAACAACAAAAACGCGCTGAGAAAAATACTTGGGATAGATGACATCCGCTAGCGCATGTATTTTCGTCCGTTTCGACAAAAAAAGTTTTCGACTATACTGTAAATCGTACATACTAGCTGTCAAATGAGCAAATGTATGTCTAAATTGCAAAAAAAAAAAATGGAAAAAGAAATTAATGTCGCAGGATGCCAAAATCATTGATCCAAAGAAAACAAGAAAATGGGAAGAAATGGAAATGAAGAGTCTATTATTCGTCATATATACATTGTGTGTTTAGTCATTTGTTCAACCTTCGCGCTATGTAAAATGGCGCCTATCAGTCTTGTCCTAGCCTGTTGTCATGTTTATTGTGTAAGACGCCCACTTGTCTAAAAAGATCAGTTTTTTCCTCGGGGTCTAGCCTGTGTTTACAGATGCTCTCGGCCTGGAGTTAATAATAACTTTATTGCGCAGCAGTTGTACAGGGTACAAAGTATGGCATCTACTAACTTAAGTAAGTACATACATATCAACTACATATTCATAAGGCTAACCTAATACAAAAGTGGGTGGCTAGTATGAGATATCAACTTACACAATCGTTGGAGGAGTGTCTAATATCCATACAGTCTTTGATATATATATCCCTATGTATAGCATGTAGCTCCACCCCATTTTGGGCGGGCGGTCGCCAGGAACGCGATTTAGTCAAGCTACTCGGGGTCGTCTTAGACAAGTTTGGTTTGACTCACCTCCAAGAGAATGTGCGCCGATGAAGAACACATCAGTCTTCATGCCGTCCTGCACGATGGCCTGTTTACACGCCTGGATGGCGGAGGACAGCTCCAGCGGGTTGGGCAGATCTGTCACGTACCCGTCCGTCAGGCCAACCCACAGTCTACGGAGTAAGATATAATTAATATACATGTATAAAGATAACCTTTATTGTACACATTCCTTATATATAAGGTACAGGTAAACAGATAAAAAGGTATAATTGTAGTACAAACAGGACTTCTGATAATAACTACATCTGCTCTAAAGCTACCGGCTAAGGCCACACCAATTTAATTTCTTGGTTAACGGATTCGCCCGCTTCATTTTTTTCTGATTTGCAAATAAAAATAAAAATTCAGAATCAACTGCAAAAATGCTCATATTTTGCCCTGAACAGTTGAAAACAGCCCTTAGTTGGCCTTAGATATCCTAGTTGTTACAGTTATTCCATCGTTCAATGCAATGGTATCATTAAAAGTTCAAAATTCATTGTTTAAATTTTGAACCGGCCTGGTGAGTTGACTTCATAGCTCCTATCGTACCATTTTGGGCCATAATAGGATGCCTAGGCCTGTTTTAGAAAAATCCGTTAACCAAGAAATTATGGCCTAATACAAAGGTTCGGCTTCTCGTTTCTTTGTGATGTTAAAAATATAATTTGAAATGTGTTTTGTTTGATTTAGGATGATCAAATCGCATAAGAAAGATGAATTTTCAACATTAGTCAGGGATTGGAAATAAGGAAACTTTCTTGTAATATATTCAAACAGATTATTCCCATCATTACTACAATCTACGAAAAAGTGGACTTCATCTTCTACCTTGTTTAAGCTATACATGCTGTACAAAATTGGCAAAATTTCTCAGTTTGCTCAAGGGATGTGCGGTTATGCCTTCCTGTTTCGATGCTGAGTTGAGTATAATAATTCTGGTGGTTTTATTCGTCACCTCTAACGATACAACGTTGTAGGGTTCCCTCATAAGGGTCCCGAATTCAGTTGCCGTTTCGTTTGACGTATTGGTCTAACATTGCGTACGGAATATATAACTTAAGCATTAAAAGATACAAAAATAAAGATGGTTTGAAAATTCGTTAGCTAGCTACAGTTCGGCCTGTAAGGATTGACTGGTAGTACGTACATGTATATAGACCATATGCTATGTTACCACTTTTTTTATTCATCAACATAAAACGCTACAATAACGCTGCACTCAAATTTTTAAACTTTTAAAATTTTAACACCGGCTGTTCTGCTGCAATAGCCGAATGTTTCAAAATTATAGAGGGATCACTTGGTTCTGAGACGAACACTCTACCGTTATGCCACACGAACGACCCTACATAGCCTGGTATCCAGTCTTATATATACGTGATTGGGGCTGTTGGGGTGTTCAGGCAGGCTGTGTCTTCGGGGGCCTTAATTGCTTCCCCCCGCCCAGTACAACAGGCCGACCCGTTACGCTATAAATAGAGATAGAATGCTTTAGTATTTGCCCCAACACGTGGTAGGGCTAATCAATCTCTCGTGAAATACCCACCGGGAAACCTAGCTCAGGCGGGCGGGGAAGAGCTCCTTCAGCCCCGAGGAGAACCCGCCCCTACCACGTAAGACTGGATACCAGGCTAGAACCCACAATAACTCACTTGTGCGGGGAGAGGTCCTGAATGGTCTGTGCTAGCGGCTGGTACGCCGTGCCCTTGATGTAGGCGCCCGGCACGATGATCAGGCCCATCTCCGCCCCGTCCGTGTTGGTGGGCCGGAGAAGTTTGCAGGACGTGCCCAGGGCGTGGGGCAGGCCGCACAGGAGCAGCACTAGAGCCGGGACAGGGAACCTCATCGTTACGGCAGCCACAGAGAACTGAAGAGAGAATGACGCGTCGACGATATTGCGTATTTATAGTAAAGGCCATGTTGATTGGATTATATGGATAACATCACGTCACAAAAGCGATGGAAGACTTTCCAGGAGTTTTGGGTCCAATTCTTTCTGTGCTAATGCTGTTGCTAATGTCTACAGTAGCAAACAGAGTATATGTAGGAAGACAGTCAAGAATCTCAAACGTTTAAGCGGATATTTCCTTTCATTGTTAATTTGATTATATGGATGACATCCGCTCGCGCATGAATTTTTGTCCGTTAATTTAAAAAAAAGTTTTTGATCATACTGTAAATCGTAAAGTCAGCTGCGAAATGAGCAAATATATGCCGTGAATAACAAAAATGTTGGAAATGTCGTAGTATGCCAAAATCAAGAGGAAAATGTGAAGAACCTCCCGACTGTGGAACCGCTTACCCAGCGAGGTCACAGGGTCGGCCACCATCTCCATATTCAAGGCCAAATGCAAACACCACATTTTATCCTGATTACCTAAACACCAATTGTAAATAAAAATCCTCCAACCGCTCCATTTCAACTTTGATCATTTTATCGATTTGTAAATTGTATTTATATTGTATTGCTTATGTATTGATTGAATTCGTATGTACTTTGTATGTTTATTGCTATTGTAAATATTGAATTGAATTTGTATGTATTAAGTGATATTGTATTTAAGCTATACTGTACTTTGTATTTATGCATTTATGTGTTAGTGGTAGCCGCTGCCAGCCTTGTTGCTGCCTGGTTGCCACTTGGTATGCACTGTTGCATTTGAATAAACAAACAAACAAACAAACAAACAAACAAACAAACAAGAAATAAAAATGAAGGGTCTATTATTCGCCATACCATACTCTGTGTGTCTAGTGTCTAGTTCAACCTTCATGACCACGTAGATTTCATAATGAAGGCAACTTCTTTTTGGCAAACTTTTTACGTTTGCCGCCATGCGGCGGCAAACGTAAACATACGAAAACAATGCTTCCATCAACCCTTCGTTGGGTGAACATTTTCGTTTGGGTGTTGCATTCAATGTTTATCTATTATGTTTGCACTTTTTATTGTGGGATGGACCTACCAGATCACATAAACGCAATTCTTATATGACAAAGGTATCAAAAATTAGACTTGAATTGTCTAAAAAATAATTAATCTGTACTACTGTATGCCCAAAGTGATTCTCAGAAGATGATAAAAATTGACATAATGGCCTTGATGAATGAATCGCATAAATTATGTTAATGTAGATGACAAGTAAAACATTGGGTGTTGCATTCAATGTTTATGTATTATGTTTGCACTTTTTATTGTGGGATGGACCTACCAGATCACATAAATGCAATTCTTATATGACAAAGTTATCAAAAATTAGACTTGAACTGTCTAAAAAATAATTAATCTGTACTACTGTATGCCCAAAGTGATTCTCAGAAGATGATAAAAATTGACATAATGGCCTTGATGAATGAATCGCATAAATTATGTTAATGTAGATGACAAGTAAAACATTGGCGCTCGCGCAACGTCTGTAATTAGTGGACAAATATTCCAACAACGATGTTTTAATTGTGGTCCACTACATTGTTGCTAAGTTTCCACACTAAAGAAACTTTTAAAGTACCCTTCTGCCGAAATATACGCCCTTGGCTGTGAAGAGAGAGAGTATCCGGCCCACCGCCATATTTACTAACCGGAAGATGTACTATTTCACTACATCGCTAGATGTCGCTGTTCATGTTGCTCTTGGAAGCCCCCGGATGTACTAGAGGGCATGTATGGGGGTGATAGTGATTACGGATTACGCAAAATTTTCGCCACCGATTACGAATTAAGTAAAATTCTCAGAGCTATTAAAACTTTATGCATTAAGGCTAATATTATATTACGAATTTCATTGATTTGGAGGGCGACTGCCAACGGATTACGAAGACTTAAATGGTCCGATTACGCCTCAGGAAAAAGGGTATGCAGGCTCCTACAACGAGCATTCCAGCTCTCAGGTACGTACCGTACCTCAGTATTTACGCCATATAAATTTAAAAAAAATATCAGCAATGTCATGAGTATTAGGCATAGAGTTACAGGAAAATAGTATAGCTAAAAGTACCATGGGCAAGGGTGATCAATCTAATTGTGCTTTGACGCGCTGTTTAACAATAGTATTTAGTAGTCAAACTGACTGCCCCCCTCCTCTTTGGATTTACAAATGCGTCTAACAATCTCTTTTCGGTATGATCAAATTATGCAAGGCTAAGTTTCTTGCTTTAATATTAAAATTAATTACCGGCAGATGCTTGCCAATCTTAAAGTTTGTTCTCTGGAGTGTTTCTACCGTATCGCCTTAATTTTTTGTATTGTTGCATAAGTTATTATTTTCTTTCTTACAAATTTTCGCTGTCAGTGGGGGGGGGCGGTTCAGGCTTTTCATTCGTCGCCAGTATTTTGTTGAAAAAACTTTGAGCTTTCAAGCTATTCGGTTCACACGTAAATCTTTCCTGGTATCAAACCTATCTCAATTTCATCAAGAAATTTGGGTGTACTCAGAAACCTAAGAATTGTTCATCAATATGGCAACATATAGAAGCTCTCTCAGTAGTATATGGGCAATTTTGAAGACTTTGATGTGTTCTTTTAGCAACGAGAACTCAATATTTATGTGCACAGTAGCAAAGTTTATGTTGAAACAAATTATTTGTCATCTCTTTCAGATGTGTCTTTGGCATTTGGATACCACAAAGCAATCAACCTATGCCACCATTCACTCAATACCAGCCTGTGCCACCGTGCACTCAATACCAGCCTGTGCCACCGTGCACTCAATACTAATGTGCCATTGTGCAGAACTTGCAGATTGTATACTGGATGAGTCCATGTCTCACGAGTGAATTATTAAAACCAGAAACTGTATCTTGCCCTGAAACAATCTGAACACATACATTTAGAATCTGTGTATACTTGTGTCACATTTCTTACATATAAGCCATTAATTGCCTTTGCCCACAATGTGTGAAGCTATACTATCAGGAAAAAAAAAAGGTAACAACATTTTCAGTGAAACTAGCAGAGGCATGTGATTTTCTTGTGCAAAAGTACAATGGCGGCAAACGTCAGCTTTTGTAAAAGCACTTGTTTTATTTGCACGCTCGCACCAGTTTTGGGGTTCTCATAGGATGCCATCCATATAATCAAATCAACATGGCGTAATGATTATGCAAACACAAGAGGCCTATTTTGCATAGAGTATGATTATTACTAAGCCCTTTGCTTGTTAAGCTTATACGATAGCGACAAGGCTGATGTCTGGGAATACAACGACAGGTAATTTCGTATTCCGTTGAATTTGGTATCAAGTCCCAATTTATGATATCTGTAATAATTGTATACAACAATGCTACGATGGAAAACGATGGAGTTCTACATTCTGAAAAACATGTCACAGAATACAGATGTGTGAGAATCTACAGCTGTTAGTTATTGAAACAGCAAACATTTACCTTTACCTACGTCCTGTGATACAACTTATCTTCAGTCTAATGTGTCCAGTGTAAATATTAATATCCGCTTCTGTGCATAAGCTTATGTCGCTGATCTCCAAGCAGATCTTTTGGTCGCTGCAAAGACAGTATAAAATTGCCCAGGCAGTATCCAATTGCCAGACAGTTACCTATACAAAAAGATATTATGTACACAATGACTGATAAACAGGTGGACGTACCAACTACTAAGTACCTAATACCAACTCAGAAAAGAACAAAAAATAGCCATGCCTTCAAGTACCAGAGTTATCAACAAAGGATTGAGGTGTTCAAAAACTCATTCTTTCCTAGAACTATCACAGAGTGGAACTCGCCGTCACCAAGTACAGTAGGGGCATCATCACTAGATAGCTTTAAACAATGTTTAGAGATAGATGTTCAAGGGTTAGGTGTAACAAGTCGTTCGGTGTAATGTAGCCAGCTGCCGCCGCGCCGCGTGCCTGCGAAGCTGGTGTGTTACGCCGAATGTAGGTTATACCGGCTATACAGATACAGACATCAGTAAAAATAAGCCGACGCCTAAACCTCTGCTTGGAGAGTATTATGTCGCATCTATCCGCAACAATTGTTGAAAATATTCAAATATGTCAAGTTGAGAATTTCATTTAGTTAATTTGCCTTAACCGGAAAAGATATAACGATGAAAAGTTTTCGTGATATAGACTGTTGAATCGCCCTATAATTTATAAAAACGCTTACCTAGTAGTATTTGAACAGAGCATTATATAATGCACGAGGATAACCACGTGTCATAATACAGGTGCACGGTAGCTGCACAATAAGTTCCACACTCCCCCCCGATGCTTCTCCAGTACAGGGGAACCTATTTGACTAAATGTAACTTTTAAACTTCGTTGTACAAATATTCGCACACAAAAAATTCAAACACACCACATGTACCGGTATGTCCAAATTCCTGGCAGTTTAATGCGTTTTCCACATGAAGAAGAAGACTGGCGTAAAGTATCGGATATTTTTTATGCCAACTTTGGTGCCCACAAGGCAGGCTTTCTTAATTAATAATTATCTTACATGCTACCCCCATGAAATTTCACTGAAATGTACTGAAGTATACTCTAGATAAAACCAAGCCCTTCAGCCAAGGGCTAGTTGTGATCAGAAAAACGGGGATTGTTTAATGGAAGTTTATCTGTGTTGGTAGTAATCATTGTACGATCCTAAACTTTATTCCAACACAAAGAATACTAGACACTGAACAGGAATACTTTCTGGGAGGTATAAATGAGACCATATATATCAGATATATCTCGGCACTCCAGCCATCACTAAACAGAGACGGTGGACGATATAAACTCCCTGGCACGTTTGACCAATCGCTGACACCACGTATCCGTTAAGTCTCGTATGAATAAGGTCACGTGTCAGTAACTCTCGCGAGATCACGTTGTGAAGTGATTGGTCATAATTTATCCTGATGAAGGCGACAGTGGTCGTTGGAAATTTGATCCCTGTGTATTCTGTGTTTGAATAAAATTTAACATTGTACAAAACAGGTATTGAGTTCCATGATCATGACAGCCAAGTTAACTGGAATTATGATACATTTTCCATATGACTGTTGTCCTACGAAATTGAATACTCCATATTCTTCATTTTCCATGTCAGAAACAGTTGAATGTTGTGAGCAAATATTTTCATACATTTGTAATCTATGCACCAAAAAAGTGATCTATTTGTATGGCATTTCTTAAGTCATATATTAGCTTGGAAACATTTGTTAAGGTCATTATTAGGTTAAGACATTAACTGACATTTACAATAAATCATACATTTTTTATCTCTTGTTACGTTTTCTTCCATGTATTGTGATTGGTAAGTTTTGCATTGGTTCACCCACTAAGGAAAAGCAGTACATGTATAATAAAAGTTTAATAACAATAGGTACTGTAGTTGAAGAATATGTCATTCTCAGATCACTTCATAACTTGAAATTCTCAGTTTCTGCAAGCAGGATATGCTCCAAAAATGTGGACAGACACAACTTGTTCATGTTATCATCTGCATTACTGTGAGTCTTATGATCAACAAAAGATGAAAATCTTTTGACATGAACTAATATCATAACATAAACTTTGTAATTTTTGCTATGCAGTGATTATAAAGTAGGACTTCATGCATATCAATTAAAATCATGCACATTAATTATTGAAATTCTATACAACATGCAAACTCATGCATCTAAATATCCATTATTATCTAGCATAGTTTCATGCAATATGTCACAGAATTTTCCAGCATGCAATTTTCCTACAGGCTTTTCATGATCCCAGCATGCACCTGTCATATAGCTACACATGCCCTGCAACTCTCAACTACCCAACATGCACTTCTTCCTACAATAATTCATTATCCCAGCATGCATCTCTCCTATGAACCGTTTTTTTGCAATTCATATCATACCATGCAATTCCGCACTTTGACTAATCTACCATCATGCATCTCTTCCTACCATCATGCATCTCTTCCTACCATCATGCATCTCTTCCTACCATCATGCATCTCTTCCTACCATCATGCATCTCTTCCTACCATCATGCATCTCTTCCTACCATCATGCAATTCTTCCTACCATCATGCAATTTTTCCTACCATCATGCAATTCTTCCTACCATCATGCAGCTCTACTTACATGTACCAGCATGCACCTGCAAGCAAAACACTGCAACATTTTCAGCTGATATTGGTAACAAAAAACAAACTGTGCCTGACTTTGACTGTATTTCATCTGCAGAGCACCTCAGCCTTTCTTAGTTGAGAATTTCAAGATATGAAGTTTCTAGGATTGTTGGTATGCAGATACAGTTATGTAGTAATTAAGAAGTAAAGAATACTGCAAAAGTAACTTAAACACAACATTCTAAAACTGCAAAATTAATGCATTACATGCCTTAAAGGTATAAAAATGTGTCATACAACTCAGCAAAGCAGAAGCATTCCCCTTAGTCCTAGTTACTTATACCATAGCTTTCCGTAACTGTGCGTTTTTGTGTTTCCAACTTTGCAAATAATTTGCAAAGTCCCAAGGACTATAATTAGTACAATGCAGGTTAACTAAATCATAGCCAGGCAGAAAGAATTGTGAAGAGCACCAATATTTTTAAAGGATGCAACCCATGCCACATTACTGTAGCCAACAACATTGTCCAATTTTACTCAAGGCTCTAGCCAGCTCCAAAAATTTTTCTGTCAGCCCAGGTTCATGATCGGACCTGGGGGAGGAGTGTCACAATCTAGTGGGGTCCGGGGGCAAATTTTGGATTTCCAAGCCTTTAAAAAGTAAAAAAATTTTCCACCTTTGGAGAGGCAAATCATGTGGTTGAGAGCGGTTGTTGGTGGTCCTTAGTATGTTTTTATATTTCTACCCAAGATTTTTTTAAAAACTTTATCTAGTATCAAGGTTGATGGATTGGTTTTAAAAAGATTCCGTCACACATCACAAAGTTTCATCAGTTTTGAAATTGATGGAAAAACGGGTGCTGGCTAGAGCTCTGGTTTTACTCCCTAACACAACTTAGGTGTAGCCTCCACCAGGCCATTCTACGGGATTAAGGATCGCAGCATTTCGCAAAAAGGAGAGTAAAATTGGCCAGGTGAGTCAGTCCACAGAATGTTAGTTCTTTCCCTGTGCGGCCAGTCAAAAACTAAGACGGCCAAACTCCCCGGCAAATATTCTCTTGTATGGCTAGCGTAGTTAGTCTGGTAGAGACTAACTTAGGTGGGTGATACTGATAGTATTATGTTTGCATGATTGACTGTGGTCCTATCCTACTCCTGATACGCCTGTCTCCTGTGTTGTCTCCAATACTCCTGCTGGAGTTCTCTCAGATTGGCCTCTAACATTTCTACCTCGTCTAGACGTCCCGCAGCCCTGGCCTGTTCTACAAAACTTCTGATGATGTCCATCTGCTGAAGCATTGGGTCCGTCTCAGTGGTCGCTACGCTACTGGAATCTACCGCGGGGGTCCACCCCTTTCCTATACTTTCTGTCCGATCTCGGTTTGCTGTATCTACGGTTGATGCTGTTGCGCCGCCTTTTCTGTCTTTTTCCGGAGATCGTTTTCTGTGCTCCTCGTTACGCCGTCGCTCCTCGGCTTCTAACGCGGCCTGACGTTCCAAGGCTAAGCGTTGTTCGATCTCTAACCGGCGCTGTTCCTGAAGCTTGCGGAGCTGGTCCTCGCTGGGTAAGGACGGGAGGCCGAAGACGTTGTCCTGGATGAAGAGGGTGCAGTGTTTGCGGATGCCCTGCTGCAGACGGATGGCCTGGGGACTCAGCTGCTGTTCAGCTCCGCTCGCCCCCATAGTAGCAATCTTTTTCCTGTAGGATTAAGGCATACTGTTAATTACTACATATTTGCAGTACCTGTATATTTCCTAGGCCCTATTCCTAGGCCATATCATAAATGCCTGCAGACAGAATGCTAAGTGACACAAATGTTGTGAATGCTTGAAAATGGAGAGAATATGGACAAAGGTATTCATTTTCATTGGTTTATTGGTCATTTTATTTACATTTTTTACCTTTTATACTGTGAATCACAGGGGGTCAGAGGTCATCCTCTTGTTTTCATGATTCATACAATGACATTTTGCTGTTAGAAAAGTAAGAATATTTTTACTAAATGGACAATTTGGAGGTCAAGATACCCTGTCAATGTGAGTTTTCAATAGCTTAACACTCAAGTAGGTAATATGTGACAGCTGACATGTATTTCTTTAATGTTTACCTTCCTTCCGTCCTTCCTATACAGGATTTCCTATCCACACATTTCAAATAGTTGTCTGTGCCCTCGTCTAACAACACAGAATACATACCCAATGGTGTCAATGGCCTCGTAACATCTCATCAGCTGACTGCGAATGTTGTTGGCATGTTCTAGGTTGTAGCTGGTCTCACCAGCACTGAAGACAGAAATGACAAAAAGTTAACTAGATCTATGATGGTGACATTCCACTGCCAAATGTTTCAGCACACTTAAACAATTAGCGAAAGAAATATTTCTAATCATAGTTTTCTGTAGAGAAGCTACATGTACATGCAATAATGTAAAGTGCACAAATCTGGAAGACATTAGAACTGCTGTTGACTTACTTGAGAGATTCGGCCATTTTGGTGTACTCAGGACACATGGCCTCCACCTTGTCCATCAACATGCGCAGTTTCTACCAGAAAACAAAAGACTGAGTTTAAATAGAATAATACACGCTATCTTTCCAACTCTCATGATCTGTGTTGGATGCAACTCAAAGAAATTCTCTCACCTCGGGCCCATCACCCTTCCCTCAACCCTGATGAGAGCCAATCACGACATTGTTTACATGTACCCGATACCTTTGACCCAGTGTTGACACCACCCTTCAATCGGACTTATTACACAAAAATACGTCATATACCCCTTTTCTTTCCAACCCACCTAAAACCTCCCATAGATTGCATAATCTGTGCTGCAAAATGAAGAAAATATTGCCTTTGGGCATTGTCATTGTCAGCCTCCATGTTATGTGGCCACAGTTTTGCCCATACAACATTGCCAGGTTGCCAACATGCAATTGTGCATAATATATATATTATTATGTCATGGGTTTAGGTCCAGACTTCCAAGTCCAGAACTGAACCTAAACCTATGGACTTGAATCCGGACCTGAACCTAAATGTGGGTTTAATTACACAGCACTAGCTAGAGCACTGAGTTACAAACCATACCAACCTCGTACAGTTGCACAATGACAGGTTTGGTAGTTTTCTCCTGGATCTGTCTCTCCCTGCGTCTCATGACGGCCATGCAGTCCTGACAGGTCCTGATGCCGTCCTCCCGCGGCTCCTCCCCCACCACCTCGCCCACCAGTGAGCGCAGGCTCTCCATGGCACGTGTTCCTGCGCTGCCCTGCCGACGGTGGCCCTTCTCCTCACCACGGATGTGCTGTACAGGGTTACCTGCCTTGTTTACCAGCTTTGCTTTTGGGGGACAACAGAGGACAAGTTGACTTTGAATACAGCTGATCAGAGTGAAGATGGAAGAGTGTACAATCACAACAGGGACCATACTTTAAGTTTAAAGTGTTTGACTCAGAACCAAGAGGTCCAGGACTTGAATCCCGCCATGTCACAGACCTTGTGCCCTTGGGAACGGCCCTGTACAAGACTTTCCATGCTTCATTCAGGTGGAAATGAGTGCCTTTCTCTGGTTAGGGACTTCAGATAGGACGTTAGGGACTTTAGATAGGTCCTGTGTTTGGGGAGAGCCACACGCCACGCACGTTAAAGAACCCACCACACCTTTCAAAAAAGAGTAGACTGAGGCATACCCTGGTGTGCTATGGCCCAAATACAAATGTCTTGAAGTTGGTGATTCCCTTCAAATCAGAAAGATGGAGTCCTGGTGAACCCCCATCTCATATCAGCAACATGGTTAGTTTGGTTTTCCTTTAATGTCCACAATCATGATAAAGATCATTGTGGCAAGCACGTCGGCAGAACGTACTGCACCTGCGCGAGACCCATAGTATATTGTACATAGCTCTTCGGCAGAATGTCTCATATAAGGTTGTATTAGCTCATAGAAGGTTAGCATTTTGACAGTAGTTTCCAAATGTTGTGTCAGAAAAGATATCCTCTGCAACAGGGAAAATTCTGATGCAACGTTGACCAAAAATCCAACTAAAAATGCGAAATTCCACAGTTCTGCGCAGGCGCAGTACGTTCTGCCGACGTGCTATTGTGGCATACTCATTTTCACCTGAGTGAAGTGAGGAAAGTTGTGTTAAGTGCCTTTTCCAAGGGCACTTTCAAAAAAGCAGAATGCTCTGCTGTTACACCACATGAACCCACAGTGATTTACATCATCACCAGGAGATCCTAACCCTTCTCACTTCTCACCCTGACGCCTTTAGGCCTTAGGCCTGTAAGTTGTCAGCCTCTTGGTCAGTCTTTTCCACTCTGTTCTATCTTCAACTATCTCTTTAACTACTCGGAAGTCTGGCTCTTCTCGTCTTGTGATTTCAATGATCTGGTCCAACCATCTTTTTCTTGGCCTGCCGGCTGGTCTTTTCTTTTTGGGTTTCCAATTAAAGATTCTTTTCACATCTCTATCTTCCGGCATCCTGTTAGGAGATCCTAACCAACCAAACCAAACCAAATGCAGTCTTACCTGTGAATATCGGTGTGAGGAACTCGGAGCACCTGTTACACATGATGCCCCCACACAGCCGGCAGTGGTGCCGCCGGCGGGACAGATTAAACTTCTCCCCACAGGTGGGGCAGTACGGCACCGCGTCGTCTGGCGCCCAGGGGACCAGGCCTATCTCAAACTCTGGGGGGTGGGGGCGGCAGGGGAATCACATATTTCATACTATTATTTGTGGTTGCAAAAATTCACAGTATGAGAAAAATTAACATGTTTGCAGCACTAAATGAATAAGAAAAAATGGCAAAAAAAGTTCATTATGAAATCTATGTGGTCATAAAGGTTGAATAAATGACTAAACACAGAGAGTATAGTATTCATTTTCATTTGTTTGCATTTTCTTCTTTTCCTTTGGAATTAATTTTGCATTCTATGGCATTAGTATTGTTTTTTAATATCCTTTTTGCAATTTACGGCATATATTTGCTCATCTTACAGTTGCTTGGTACAATTTTTTTGGAAAATACAAAAATTCATGTGACCATGGATGTTATCCATATAATCAAATCAACATAGCCCGTAGAAACATTGTGTTCCCAGCAAGGAACTAAGTTCCTATGTCCTTTTTAGATTGACAATTTTTTTTTTGGAATCTCCTTGGAGTTTTACCGAGAGAAAAAAAATCTATTAGCATAACATGATGGCTGACAGCAGTGCAGGCCATTACTGGTAGTCTAATAGCCTCATTTGCACCTAATTAGAAGATGACAAAATGTTCCATTTGGTAATCTAATAAGCCACTTTCATACCTTTTTTCTTGACTGGATCTGGATTCATCCTATCAAATGCTAACATCTGTAGGGAGAAAGAAAAAAAAAGTAATTCATTAGTGAGAAAATGAGCTGACATTGTTTTCCAAATGAATCACATGTACATGCAGCAGAAAAGTGGCAATTTATTTTGATGTAATCAGTTTTCTGTCATTCTGTTTCAACATGTAATTATTTGTTTCAATCGCATGGTTTCGTCACAGGAGGAATGACAGAAATCCCACTATGTCAGGAGTGAATCGAAAGTGGCGGGAAGACGGAATCTACCACTGTCATGGTTCACAGTTAATGTAAACTGCATCCTTTACACCCCTCACAAAGTAATCTTACTCATGCCAGTAGCCAGGGGGGGGGGGGTCGGTGGGTTCAGAGGAACCCCCCACAAGGCTCAAAGGTCCACTCTTTGGTCCACTTTTCATCTAAAGGTCCAAGATTTTTCTTTAAAAGATGGACTGATTCGTGTCACCAGCGAGGCTGGAATCGTAGGAAAACTGCTCACTTTCACTTTGTCATTGGAAAAAGTTATCTCTGATTTTTCTTTGAAAAAATGCAGAAAATTCAATTCCAGAAGGTCCATTTTAAAAACTTTCCTGGGGAAGCATGCCCCCAGACCCCCCTAGGAACCTCACGCCTTTGGCGCTCGCTGGTCCCTCAAGCTGTGGGAAGAACCCTCCATTGAAAATCCTGGCTATGAGCATGCTACTCCGTATCAAAAATGTGTACCTTGTCAAGTGTAACCGTGTTCCCGCCATTTTCTATTTACTCCTGACTAATGATGAAGGTTGACAAAATCGACCAAAAATTTATGGTAAGTCCTTCCTTGTGTTGGAACAAAGTTTAAACTCTACAAATAACAAATGACAGTTATGTTTCCCACCTTCTCAAGTCTGATGAGAAGTTTGTTCATCTCGATGACGTAGAAGTCAATCCTTGCATCACGGATCTTCTTGAAGTTATCCATGTGGCTGCGACTGGTGCCTTCAGAGAGAAAAACAGGTACTAATTGTGCTCACGTGTAAAAAATCCTAATTTTAAAGCTTTTCTACTTTAGTAAAAGCGTTTTTTTTAATGTCATGAGATTGTAAATGAAGTGAGGAACAGTACAATGTAGATCTAATAAATTCTTAAAGGCGGCATTTCACATTTATATTCCTGTATATATATTTTTTTTTACAACCTACTATATGATTATCCTACGGTTCCTACCAATTCAGTATGAGTACTGAACATTGGATGAAAATTTTGTCTCTTACAACTTAGTTTACATTTCAAACCCTCAAAATTGCAAAACAAACATTTAATTTTGTTACATTATATCAACATGTAATAAAACAACGTATGTATACCTAGGAACAAAACACTTTTGTTGAAAGTTTAGATTGTTATAACAAGCTCAGAGAAAACTGATGTACATGTAAATTAATATATATTACTCAAGTCTAGTAGTACTACCCGTGTTTAAAACTCGGTCATTACCTTTACCCAAAGGAAAACATTATTGTTTTTGCTCTGTTTCTTCTTCCTCTTCCGTTCTAAACACTGACCTCTGACCTGGTCAATGACCAGGCTGTCTCTCACCATGGTAATTGGTGTTGGGTTACATAATGTTGCAATTTTATAGTAGGAGGGATTTAGACTCAGGTCACCATACGTGTGTGAATGTGTAAACATTACTAGTATGCATTTGCTGAAATGCAAATGTTACCTTTCTAGTTATGAGTGGATTAGCTTTTGAAGAAAATTTAGAATGTTGTTATAACAGGCTCAGAGCAAAGGCAGTCAGTATTAAGAAGAATCCCTATGGAGCGTTGGCGTCCGTTCTGTCGTGTTACCAGTAGCGAGGTGAGTAGATTTAGCGTCAGATGAGGTGAGGAGGAGGGCCGGGGGCTCACTACCCGTCACACAATCTCTACACATGCCTCATGTTCACTGTACAGAGACGTTGACAGGCAGCGAGTCCCAGCCAATCAGCAAACAGGAGAGAAGCATGTAGTAGATCTAGAGAGAGCCAATCAGCCGTCAGGACAGGCCCAGAGCTTGGCTGGAGCTGGCAGGTCAGATAGAATGAAGCTTTTTTGGTTTGCCATCAGAATTATGGATTAAATGTGGCAAAGTTTTTACAATTTTAAATGACAGTTCAAGGATGAATATTCAGAAATGTAGCCTCTTGATCTGTGCGTGTGCTCTTCGGTAAATAAAAAATTAATCACTATGCAATGCAGTTACACATTTGTTACTTCTTTTATGCATAGCTAGCTTCTAAGTAGTAATATGTTGTGTTAACTCACACACTAACATTAATGTTAAATAGCAATGAACCATGTAGATGATAAAAAAAACACCACCTTCATGAGAACTACTCGAACTACAAGATTTTAACCTCCTTGCTCCAAGCAAAGGATCTAACATCCGTGTCCATGATATCACCAGGGTCCATAATATCACCACCTTGAGAAATATTGTGCTTTAAGATATTTTTACTGCAACATATACTTTTGGTATGCACTGACCTGCACACCTCAAATGTACATACCTAGGGTATGTTGCAGTAAAAATATCTTTAACCACACTTTTTGTCAAGGTGACAAAAGGACACAGAATGATGTTATATGAAAATTCTAAAAACTAGCCCACACTTCAGAGCCACATACATGTTCAAGGTAGGGTATGTACCAAAATTACACAATGAATCAAATAGGAAACAAATACACACACACACACAGGATAGAAAACAGTTGAAACATTCCCCAAATCCTCAGAACCCTTATAGTATGACTATGGTAACTAAAGATCCTACCAGAGCTTAATATCTAATTAAACTGGAAGACAAGTCTGAGGCCCGACAACCTGTCACTCTCTCTACATGGACGGTATGGGGCGACCACAGCATGTATTGGAAGTGACAAGCCAGCAGGCACACACAGTTCACCGGCCAACTCTTCTGTATCTCTATTGGTAACAATTAGCCGATATAGCCACCCTTCGGTATCACACAAAAGCTTAAAACTCCTACATGACCATGGAAGCAATCATAGAACCCTACCTGGAAACAACATCAACTTTCATCCCTGGCTGCTTTTTGAGATTTGGGTCAACTTACAGGAGCTGGAAATTGTACCTAATACTTGAGAATTAGCCACTTTAAATTTCCCTTGGTGAAATTTTTTTCCGCCAGCCCTGGTTCATGATCAGACCTGGCGGAAGTGCTCGCAATCTCAGTGAAAAATTTTGGATTTCCTTTAAAACTGTTTGACGTCCAAACAGCCTAACACCTTTCCTACAATACCGTTTAAACTGCAACCTTCAAGCAAGGCTGTAACATAACACAAGAGGAAATGTAGACGTAACACAACTGTTTGATGTCCAAACGGCCTAACACCTTTCCTACAATATTGTCAGCTGCAACATGCAAGCAAGGCTGTAACGCAAGAAGAAAATGTAGATGTAAAACAACTGACTTATCTGAAACCTTCAGTACTCTGACAGGAGGAGGCCACAAGCTGGAGAACACAACAGACTTCATAGTGGCCAGCCTTCCTTCTCTGCAACACTGCCTCTTCCACACAGATCCTTCAACCTGACTGTCCTCCACAGCACCCAGGGCACACTGACTAACACACCTCTCCACCCAACCCCTTATATCCCTGGTAAAACTCTCTAGTGAGTTGCCCAAATGACATCTATCAATTACATGAAACACAAGTGCATCCTGTCATTATGGTAAATGGAAATGAGACGTCCAAACTGACGAGTTTTTAACGACAGGCATCCCTAGGCCATACTAATTTAATTTGTTGTTTCTCGGATTTGCCCTGTCTATTTTTTTTCAGATTTGCAAAAAAAAAATTCTTTTTTTGTTCTAAATCAACTGCAAAATGTTCAATGAAAGACTTTAGGCCCCAACGGTTGAAAGTCCTTTTCTTTCTAGTTGTTAAAGTTTTTCAATGCAACAGTGCAAGTTTTAATTATAAACCAGCCTGGTATGTTCACTTCATGGCTCATATTGTAACATTTCCGGCTATCATGGGGTGCCTTGGCCTGTTTTTTGTTTTTTTTTCGCCCTGTCGCTTCATATTTTTCAGAAAAAATCCGAGAAACGACAAATTAAATTGGTGTGGCCCTACAGTGATGGGAGGGCTGGGGGAATGAAGGATCAGCAAAGTGCAAGGTCCTATTCATTTGTACATATTACCTCTGCACCTGTACTAAACAGTGTACAAAGTGATGTGCTAATGGTATGCATTACATACATCATGTATATTGGCTGGCTGATTGGCCCCATCAGAATTATGGATTAAAGGTGGCAAACTTTTTACATCCTAAATTACAGTTCAAGGATGAATACTGTCACCAAAATAGCCCCAATGGTTCAGGACAACTATACTTTGAGAATCACTACTCTGACTGTCTCAAAATGTAGGAGCAGATCTGGTGTACGTGTGTATTCCTTATATTATATATTATATGCTGAAATCTGACTGTGCTTTCATGTTCAATAACATACCAATGGCACCTAACCACCTCTCCCGGCAAACTCTCACTGTGGCAAAACTACCTCACACGCCTGCAAAGGAGGCTAACAGCTTGTTTGTTTGTTTGTTTGTTTCGCATAACCGGTAAACCGCCTTTAGGCGTAACAAACCAGTTTTGTACATGTGTGTACATGTACAAGCTGCGTAAGACCGGACTGTAAGATTTTGAACCACTCACACGGGAAGATCCCCTACTCTTTTCGATAAGTGTGGTGGGTTCTTTAACGTGCATGGGGTGTTAGAATTGATTGCTGGATTGATGTGTAACTAAAATTTGTCATCAAAGGTCTTTGCCATTTAATTCACTTTTCTCTGAGAACTTAGGGTAAAACCATACAGGTACATGTATAATATCTTGGTTGTCTGCAAAGCAGTCTCAACGACTAAAGTAAAGCCCCAGTCACACATTCACAACCTTCCCCAATTTGTTCCCAAACACCAGCCGACCAGGTTCAGTTGACAATCAGGAGCACTCTGACCAGATTTAGGACATGACTATAGTAGTACTTTTCTACTAGTATGTGATTCGAAATGAATTTGAGTTAAATTTGAGTCAAACATAACCCACCAACATTCTCCTAACACTGCTGACTTACTCCCAAATGGTTCGCTAGTTGTCTGCTGAGTTGCAGTCGAACACCAACCAACCATGGCCGAATCTCTCCCAACCAACGCCCCAGATCTTTTATGTTTAATTTTAAACTTTCAGCTGGCAATAGTTATTTTTGCTGAATTTGCTGACCCAGGCAACTTTGCGATGGTCCTTACCATGTTTGGGGGGCGTTCGGCTAGTGGTAATGAATTCGTGAATGTGTGACTGGGTCTTAAAAATATTAAATCTCATGGAACAGACCTTCCCAATGCCCTAGCAGGTGGGACAGACAGACGTGTACTGGTATGGAAATACACATCAGGACGTGTGATTGTCACCATGATTGCCAATTTGTACCCCCTTTCAGAGGTAAGTGGTTGTAATGACACTGATTCTGGTCCATTCTGTTGCTCATTTGGAGGACAGAAGTGATTCTCACACAAATCCATTACACAATGAAGGGTGGGAAATGTAGCATGCAATTTTCTGATGAGATTATTTCAATATCAATCAAAGCCCTTTGGAGGTCGAGGAAAACTTTTGCCCATTTCATATGTATACTCAGGGCTTGAAGAACTTTTTTTCTGCGAGTGCACGTAACACTGGAAATTACCTGCACCAAATTTTACCTGCACCACACAGACTTTGAGAAGTTTATGAATCTCAGTAATAATAACAAGTGTTCAGAAACTATTGATATTATTTCTTTTATAGTGCTTCCTCTATAGTTGGTAACAGTGAATGCTGCAAATAAGAATCCACATACACCTTACATTTGTATATAAACCAAGTACATGTACATACATGTAGGCCAATACCTGCACAGCTCCAATTTTACCTACACTAAGGTGCATATGCACCCAGTATTTCAAGCCCTCATACTGTACATTGTACAGTGCTGCATATTTAATCATAGTACGTAGTAGGGTTAACACTAGATTTGAAGGTGATCTGACCTTGAGGTTATAAAATATAAATCCCTATGTATGTTTTATTCTTGCTATAGTATCTCTGATGTCTTCAATTATGAAAATCTGTAGTGTGGCCTTGATTTTCAAATGAGTAACTGATACTTTTCTTTCTTTACATTTGTTGCTCTAACTATCCAGTGCTGAAGGAACAAAAATGGGTCAAACTTAAACAAAAAATGATAGGTTGAATATATATATATTACCAAACAGCTTTACAAGAGGCAAACTACCTGAAGACATACATTAATTGGCAACTTATTGAATTGACAAGTTTCTAGTACTCTCCCAAAACTCTCAAAACAGAGGACAGAAATATAATGACCTCAATAGATTTTCCAATTACTGTTCTCCATTATAGGCAATGTCAGTGGATCAACAAATACTAGTATATTCATGAGAGGTGCCTAAGCCAGCAAATTATGTAAATGAAGCAAGGATATACATATGATTGTAATATCTGCAAGGGCATCTTGGACAGGAGCATTGAATTTCAAACATGTGACAGGCAGTAGTCAAGCTATAGCCTGGGTACCATCCAGATTTTCGCTACGCAACGCTCGAAAAAATCATGATTTTTTCAAGCGTTACGTAGCGAAAATCCAGATGGTACCCAGGCTAGTCAAGCTATTCCACCAAGCATTTGTCTATATCCATTAAAGGAGCATTATGTAACATTTTTGCACCAAAAATTGAAATAAATATGTTTCTTGAAAAAAAATTGTGCGATTGCAACTTAGTTACAGTTTCAACAAATTTGTACAATTACTTTTATCTCACCTTTCTGGAATTTATTGCTGGCACTAAAACAGCCCACATGAGGGGCACTCAGTTTGTGGTGCCACCACAAACTACCAGAAGGTAAACAAACATGGCTGACAGATGTGTTTCCAGCTTTTAAACACACTCAAAAGGTGTCATATTTTAGCATCTCCACTTCCTTCAAATGACACTTATTTGCAATGGAGTAGGGTTGATCCAACTGACTTCGTATTATTGTATCATGTTACATAATGCCTATATTATAATACTTAATCTTTAAAGTTTAAATCTTGAAACTAGCAATAGCAATCTTTTTGGAACACACACACCACAAAACCCTGGAAATGCACAGTCCATTCTTGTGTTGTTTGCACAGACTACTACAAGCAGTATGTATTTTTACCGAGTTGACCAATATTAAAGTGAGTATTTTAAGCGCTACCTTTGATGCAGTACATATACGAAAAGGTAGATGTCTCTGCAGCACAGACAAGAGATAGAGCAGGATGTGAATATAGATAGAGAAGAGTTATGACAGTAGTAGAGACCAACCATCCATACAGGGGAAGGGTGTACACAAATTATTCACCAGTCATCACAGCATAGAAATACTTTTAGTAGAAGTGTCAGTACAAGAGAAATACACATACCCAGGCTTCTAAATTCAAATGTATCTACATGTATGTGCATGGAAGGCATATTCTGGTGCAAGTCATATAGTCTAAACATTTAGTGGGACTTGGACGAATCATAATTCACTAGAAATATACGAAAATGGTCAAATTAGGATTACTTGGTTAAAAACTTACAGGAGGGCCTGCATGCCCTTTTTCATAAAGCGTAGGCAGCATCCGCAAAAATCAACGTAATTCGTAATAAGACATTAGCCACAAATCGTAAAGCCGTAATCAGCTCTGAGACTTTAACGTAATTCGTAATTTGCAGTGCCAAAATTTTGCGTAATCACTACCCCCCATGCAGACCCTCTTAAAGTAATTATGACCATTTAATAAACATTACAACAACATAATGACCTGTTTATGACACTGTCATTCATGTGTTAAGCACTATTGTTAGGTATAAAATACAATAATTATTACATAAGTGCCCTGCCCAAAGGTCCACTCGAATTCGAAATACTGTAAATCACATTATGTTTGCGGTAGCAAAAGTTTGCAGTCTAAAGAAAAAGGACATGTTTTTGGGGACTACTATATATGTACACAGTGGCGGCAGGTGCAGCAAAAAGAAAATTGGCAAATTATTTGTTCACGGTAAGTAATTATCAATTACAGAAATGACTGATAAAATTGCGAACATAAAAGTACCGGAAAAAAAATTTGTGATTTACAGTATTTGACGTTTCATACCAAAGACATGCGGCTACAAATAAAACTATACACAAGCAAAAATGGCGACACTACTTCCCATCACACACCTCTTTGCATGATGGGAAATGAAATGGCGGCGCTTGTGGACGTGAACTAAAATAAAACGGGTTTCGCTACTGATTCTTACCAAAGTCTTGTGGCTCCCACATTGTCGGATCCACGCCGCCGACGTAGTACGCCGTGCTGATTGCGGCCACCTGGTCGCTGCTGTCCGAGCGTCCGACCGCAGTCCCCCGGTCCGACCTCACGCCATCCTGGTCCCTCCCGTGCCGCAACAGCTTACTCTTGGCCCTCCCAAACAACCCCTTCAGATGCTGGAACACTTGTTTATCTGCCTCCGTGTTGTGAGCCTCCTCAAAATGGTTCTGTAACTGCTGCACCGTCTGTAAGTCCTTCATACAGATCGGGCACAGGAAGCCCTCACGGATGTCCCCAGAATCACTGGCTGCCATCGTGCTTAGTCTTGTTCGGTTCCGTATTTTTGTTTCTTTCCGGTGTAAATTTTGAACCGGTCAGGGTTTTTTGACACACGCCCTAGTTGTTTGGGGGGCGGGGCCCCTTTGAACTATACCTCGTTCAAGTCAAGTTTTTCATAATTTCTGACGGAATAACTATCATCACGACATCATAATAGTGTCTTCTGATCCTTGGGAGATGACAGGACGGTAATATCGATGTAAGATGACCGCACGACGCTTATTTATAAAAGCAAACAACGTCACGAAAAATAATCAGGGGCCAAGATGTGGGGGAGGGGGGCAAGGTGAAATAAATCGACTGCTCACACTTCCGTTACCGCGATCCAGTCCCCACTTTTGGCGGCACATGTCCCGTTCACAACCCCAGCCGACAAACTGGTACAATTTTACGCCATTCCGGATCCGGTGGGATAAAATATAGCGGTGTAAAAAAACCTGGATGTAGCGCAGCAGCTCAGCTCTTAGCTCCAGACACCGAACAATTACGTCATGGGTCAAAAGGTCAAGATGATATACCTGATTATCCTATAAGGCATCGGTAGGACAGATTGTAGCACAAGGTAGAGACTGTCTTGCCGTCTTCTAAAACTTTGCTTCGATGGTACAAATGTATTCCTAAAACGAACTGGCTTTTGCTTTTACTTTCTTTGATTATATGACAAACAATACATTAATCGGATGCCTTTGTATTTCAAATCTCCGTGTTAAAACGTTAACGTAATTTAAGTATATCAGTTTGTCCAAAAGAAGATAGATTCGGAAGAAAAGAAAACTTCATTGTGTGCTGAAAACATTTTCCCATTCCCATTCACTGTAAATTGATTATTGGCAATGTTCAATATTGAGGCATGAAATGGATATATTAGCCGTTCAAAATGTATCATGATGTTGTCAAGAGTGACTACATCCTCCATCTTACATATCATCTGTTCTTTACTCTTACGTAATTTACTTATCTCCAATTCCTCATACATGGCTAGGAGAAAAACCCACTGCAGTTTGAAAGGAAGCCGCTAAGCGGCGCCATTGCATGGTGCAGGTGCAACGACACTTTGCCGTTTTGCGGCAACGCACGTTTCCACCACTTCCGCATTGGCCAGTGTAACAGTGTTTGGAGTCGGACACAAATTTTAGCTGAACCTAGCTACCTAGAGCTTCGCGCCATGGCTGATCCCTGCTCCCTAAGCAACCCACAGGCTTTTAGAACCACCAACATCGCCCTGCACCTTGTCGTAGACTTCGACAAGAAGGTTCTGAGAGGGTCGGCGACTCTTGATGTGGAGGTGTTGGAAGAGGGAGTGGAGCATGTGGTGAGTGGTGCATGGTGTAGATAACGTTATCTCTATAATAACACATTTCCCTATGAAAAGTTAAATCATTATAATGCACAGTTGATCTTTAAGGTAAAATGTAAAAGGGACTGTCTTTTAAAACTTGATTGCGTGCTTGCTTGTGTTCTTGTATATAATATATTACAAGTATTAGCAAGGAGCCTATTAATGGTTTTAAAACTTTTATTGAAAATTTGCTGTTGTGCCTGAAATTAAACTAGTGAAAGTGAAACTGTAGAATAGACAATAGGACAGTCCGACAGCCTCTAAGAAAGTGAAAGCTCAGTTGCAGCCTTTGCTAGCTGAATATCTTATGTGTACGTGGCAAAACAGACGAATTTTAAGGTTTCCAAACTGTAACTTAGTAACAAGAGTGGTAACGCCCCTGTACTTGCAAACACTCAAGCACAAACAGTCCTTTGTTGCTGGATTGAGAGTGTAAAATTAATCATTAACAGGTGTTACTACAAACCAGCTTTAATGATAAAAGACTGTTCTGCTTTCGCAGAGTTACAGGCAATACCAGTGGCTCTTTCTGCTTAAATACTGTAATTCCTAATTTTTTTCTCAGTTACCTTTCTTCACAGTTTTCGCGGTCACTTTTGCACAACAAACTTATTATTACCATTGACAAATTATTTGCCGACTTTCTTTTTTCTGTACCAGATGCCACCACGAACATACAGTTAACTGTTCAGCGAACACCTCGGAGGGAGTCTGCTTTTCTCAGACCGCAAACTTCTGCTACTGCGAACATAAAATGAATTACAGTAAGATAGGATGTTCTATAAAGCTCCTTGGATAGCCAAGGCAAGTTACAGTTCAGTTTTTGCTGTCTGGACGTCTGGGCAACATTCCTGAAGAGTCAAGTCACACACCTGCATGTAACATCCTTATGTATGTACAGGTGCTGTGTGTGACTGATAAGAGCCATCTGGCAATTATCCCAGCTTACATTGGGGTTGGCGAAAAAACCTGTCCAGTCCAGAAGGTGGAAAAATCTGTCCAGTCCGATAAAAGGGTCTGCATGGGGTCTACGCTTTGTTTTGACATTGTAGTTCCTTTCTGTGGCCTTAGATAGTCAAACGAGATCTAGAGAGAGAATCATCAGGCTGAAAGGTATCATGCCCTTTTATTCCATTTCCAAGAGATAAATATGCAGACAATTAATTACCTCCATGAAAAATGGAGGTATTGTTTTTGGGGTGTCTGTGTGTCTGTCTGTCTGTGTTTGTGTTTCCGCACATTTGCAGTCAGCATAACTTCATAACGCCTTTATGGATTGTGATGATATTTGGTATGTTGGTAAATCTTAGGAAGACAAAGGTCAAGGTCAAATATGGGCCTCCTGGTGGATGACCTTGGTACTGCAGCAGAACTGCAGTTTATTGTCATTTGAATTTAGAAAGCCATAAATTAAACTAGATTATGCTAATTACGACCTTATTGCCATAGTCAATGAGACAAATAAAAAACATTTACAAAGACTCATATATTTCATGGAGGTATGAGATCTCCGAATTCTTGTTCTTATTTTGTATCATAGCCCACGTGACAGCTACCCTTCAACTTGAGCTGGGACCTGGAAGCACCAGATGACATCTCCGTCCTGATCTTGTAGTTTCCACTCTACCACGAACTTGATCTGAAAGATAGCGAGAGAGACGGCAGGAACGTTAGAGGAAAAGTCTCAAATTATATGATATCAAATTACAAGCAGGCGCTTTATGTCTGCAACAGGATTTGTGTGTGTGTGTGTGTGCGTGTCTGTCTGACAGTGTGTCCAGGGCTTCCAATGGGCAAGGTCAGGCCTTGAAATTAACTTTTCTTCCTATTGTCCCAGCACTGTCCCCAAAATAAATTTCAGTTGTCCTGAAGTGAGGATGAACTGTCCCAATCTGTTTTTTTTTTAAATATTGTATGACTTCAACTTGAAGTCATCCTTATTTTGCTGATATTCACTCCCAGGAGCACTATAATTGCACAGTAGACAGGAAATCTGGGGGGAATTTTCTGGAGCCAAAAGCCGGGAAGTGTGCCTGATAAACAAAAGAAGGGCTGACATTCTGATGTTGATTATTTTCCTATTGTCCCAAAAATGTCCCAAAGTGTCTTTTTAGTCGTCCCAGCCTAAATTTTAGTGGTCAGTGCCCATTGGATCACCTTTAATTTTGAGTCCTGAAGGTATCATGATACTGAACATATGCTCCAACTAGAGCACTGCAACTTGTAATGTTGTCAAGTTGGCCTACCTGGTACTACCCCTATACTAACACAAACAAATTTCTTACCGGCGGGTATGACTTTGACACCAAGAGGGAGGAGGTATAGTTGTAAGTTCCTCCGGCTGCTATGGGACATTTCAGCCCCGAATCCTTACATGCATCGGGGTTTGGGATCTCATGTGGGACCCTGACATCGAGTACGATGGCGTGCACAACCGCACTAGCCTTCGTTATCTGCTTGTCTGAAAAAAAAGGAATAATGCACATGTTTTACTTAAAATTTAGGCCACGCCAATTTAATTTCTTGGTTAACGGATTCGCCCGCTTCATTTTTTTCTGATTCGCAAAAAAAAATCAGAATCAACTGCAAAATGCTCATATTTTGCCCTGAACAGTTCCATCTTTCAATGCAGTTGTATCATTAAAAGTTCAAAATTCATTGTTTAAATTTTGAACCAGCCTGGTGTGTTGACTTCATGGCTCCCTATAGCCCTATCGTACCATTTTGGGCCATAAGAGAAATACCTAGGCCTTTTTTATTTTTATTTTTTTTTCGCCCGCCCGCTCCATTATTTTTTCTAGAAAAATCCATTAACCAAGAAATTACATCGGTGTGGCCTTACAAAATGGCTTTTTCAATCAATCAATCAATCAATCAATCAATCAATCAATCAATCAATCAATCAATCAATCAATCAATCAATCAAATGGTTTATGTGAAAACAAAACAAGACCTTGTAGCCATTGGCTAAATTGTGTCTTTCTGTATTTGACATATATTGACACATTAAAATTGCTAAGTTATTCAATAATAAAATCCATGTCATTATACATTAAATACCTAAAAGTAACAGTTTCAATTTCAGCATTAAAAACTAACAATTACAGACATATATGAAATACTACCACAATAATATACATTTAGTTAGTAAAAAATAAGACTAGAGGACAGACTAACCACCCTAGAAGTACGATACACATTATTTGGAGGAATTGTTCAATATGCGAACCAGGTATGGTACTGGAGAGTTCTTATATCTGTTGGTCCTGTATTTAGTACTTTTTAGCTTTTTATTGATTAAAGAAGGCAAGGCATTAATATCTGAAGTAAGCTCTGACTTGTGGTGAACTCCAGAACCACGGAGACGTTTTGTCCTTTCACCAGCTGGCATGGCTCAGTTGCACATGGTGTGATGTTGATAGAGTCGATTTTGGCCACTTTGGATCCTGTACAGAGATACTAGTAATGTGTAATGTCTTTCAATGAGAAACGACATAATCATTCATGGCATTGTCATGCAAAAATGCAAAACATTTAAGTATTTCAGGAACCTGAAACGTTATTTTATCAGTATAATCAATATTATTATTAATCCGTTATCCATGTGCCATTTGCCAAAAAAAGTTACTCTAAGCAACTGGATATGATTTTGGAAATGGTCAGAAGTTTCAGTCAGTGTCCACTAGCTTTCGTCAGTGTATCTGCGTCAGTGACTGAGAGACAAGAGGAGCACAAGCTATAGATTGATATGCAAATAAAGTGAAGACAATATTTTGGAAGTCGAAAAGGGAACAAAAGTCCTGTTATGCAGACATGCGCCATTTGCTTACTAGTACATTCTTTACTCAGAAGGTTGCTCACAACACATGTACAATGTACCTCACTATACTAGTATTTTCTAAGTACACAGAAATAGCAACTAAAATGTATCCAAATATCCTGAAACGAGGACTGTGAGTGTAAAACAATAGATGACCCTTGTACAATCATTCAAAAGGAAACAAACAGCTTGTCGGATTTGTTTCTTATACACAGTCAAATGACTCACCACAGTCGTGAAAGACCGGTACGGGATCTCCTAAGATGACGGAGATTCCCACGCAAAGTGCGAGGGCCAGAACGTGTATCAGACGGGCCATGGTGTCCCTAACGCTGGTCACGGACCAGTACGAGCTATGACCACTCCGTCCTCTCACGACCTTGAGTTTTGCACTTGCCCAGTTACGTTGTTGGAGGCCACGCCCACTGATCACCCCATCTAGTGACGTATGTGTAGACTTTGTGCCTGTCCCCACGCACAATACATTGAATGAATGAATGAGCTTTATTGCTCGACAATCGTACATGCTACAATGTGTAGCGGTAATACAACAATACTACAAAACTAAACTTATTACATTTCTTACTACAAACTACTATCTATACAGTATATGGGTTACAATATGGTCATGTATTGATTATTTGGTCTCGCTTACATGTATGAAATTAAGTGTACAGAAATTGGCCTAAGTAAGCAGATTATGGTAGTTGGACATGACAATAATATATGGAATGTACATGTATCGTACTGTGTACCAGATAGGATGAACTTTGTCTTAGTGGTAATAGTCTGTAACAATGTATCTCTTTCTTTTCTATAAGTGGAACCAGTCATAACAACATGAAATTTATCTTCAATACATTGTAATATACATGCAGTCAGAACATATGACTGTACATATCAGCCTACAGGCGTACTGAACAACAGCGTGTTTGCAATGGTCCCTGTTGGGCCACACCAATTTAATTTGTTGGTTCTCAGATCTTTTCAGAAAAAATATGAAGCGATAGGGCGAAAAAAAAACCAGGTCTAGGCATCCTATTATAGCCCCAAATGCTACAATAGTAGCCATGAAGTCAACACAAAAGGCTGGGTTAAAATTTAAACAATGAATTTTGAACTTTTTTAGACATTTGGTTTGAGAAATAAAAGTTCAACAAGTCCAACATGATTTCTTTCCCTCTTCCTGCAAGGTACTGGATACACGTGAGCTGACCATCCATGGTGTGGAGGATGTCAGCACAGCTCAGCCGCTGCAGTACCAGCTGAAGGACCAGGTGGCGCCGTTTGGATCACCCCTGCAAATCAGCCTTCCAGTCAACTGTCAAGCAATGTGAGAACTAATACTTGTAGATACTTGTTTAAAGTTAAAACTTTTGGTCCAACACAAAAAAGTTCTCTCACCTAGAGCTTTCGACCAGTCACTCTGGTCTTCCTCATCAGTAGACTGACCCAGTGAGAGAACTTTTTTGTGTTGGACCAAAAGTTTTAACTTTAAACATGTAACTACCAACATAGATGAACTTTCATGATAGTACTTGTAGATACTGATCAGTATTTGTTCCAAAATTAATGAAGAATTGGTTGTTGAAGAAAAATTCGTGGCAGTAGTAAACTTCACAACATAAATTTGAACTGCACTTTGAATCCAATTCCTTATAATATTTATTAGGCCATGTTGATTTGACTTCATTTGAAAATGGATGGCATGCAATCGCACATGAATTTTCGTTCATTTGGAATTAAAGGTTTTTCTACCATACTGTAAATCATGCAAAGCAGCTGCAAAATGAGCAAATATATGCCACAAATTACAAAAACATATTGGAAAATGATACTTGTCATAGAATGCCAAAATCAATTCCAAAAGAAAAGAGGAAAATTGGAAAAAATGAAAATTCGCCAAACCATACTCTTTGTGTTTAGTCATTTGTTCAACCTTCATGACTATGTAGATTTCATAATGAAGGTAACTTTTTTTTCCAGTCTTTTTTATTTGCATGCTCACATCAGTTTTGGGGTTCGTAGAGGATGTCATCCATGTAATCAAATCAACATGGCCTTACTAGAAACCAACATGAAGCTGCAGTACTAATTTTTTTTATATAGAGGGAGCAAATGCCAAGTGCAAGTCAGCTATGAGACAGCACCCTCCTCCTCAGCTCTACAGTGGCTGTCCCCACAGCAGACAGCAGGACAGCAGCACCCGTACCTGTTCAGTCAGTGTCAGGTGGGTGCTGTCCTCTTGTTCTTATAATTTCATAAATGCCTGCGGACAATTTTATGTGACACGAATGGCGTGAATGGTTGTAAATGAGGAAAATGGTAAAGATTTCTTTTCAGGCGTTCACAGGAATTCATTTTTACTGACATAGTGTAACAGGATTTATATATTCTTCGTTATCTTGTCATTAACCTTAGAACTGATTGTTCTGTAGGCCATCCATGCCCGCAGCATGCTTCCATGCCAAGACACCCCCTCTACCAAGATAACCTATCAAGCAGAGGTAAGTATGCAGACCACTGTTGATTTATTCTTTTTTTTTCATCATATTTATTTTTAGAGGATTGGGCAAAAAGTACACACACTTATTGAGACCCTCTCCTCTCTGCACATACAGATGAAAGTATCATTAACAAAACAAAAACAAGATATATACTAAAGGAGTGGTGTACAAACCATAAAAAATCAATTAAAATTCTTTGTATTATTAGGCTACAATGTTGTTTTAGTTTTAGGCCACACCAATTTAATTTGTTGGTTCTTGGATTTTGTCAGAAAAAACATGAAGCGACAGGGCGAAAAAAAATAAAAACAGGTCTAGGCATCCTATATAATTATAGCCCCAAATGCTATGATAGGAGCCATGAAGTCAACACAAAAGGTTGTGTTAATATTTAAACAATGAATTTTGAACTTTTAATCAAACCACTGCATTGATAGATGGAAACACTGCAACAACTAGGAAGAAAGGGACTTTCCACAACTGTTGGGGGCAAAATATGAGCATTTTTTAGTTGATTCAGAACCAAAATCTTTTTTTTTTTTTTTGCAAAACAGAAAAAAATGAAGAGGCGAATCCGAGAACCAACAAATTAAATTGGTGTGGCCTTATGTCAATTTGCAAATAAACCATTCTGGAAAATGACCAGTCTGCAAAATAAAGTTGAAACTTAAAAAGCATTGTTCAGAACCTTGTACATTGTTACAGTCTAAAACATGAAATCATAAACTTAGAGTCAATGCCTGTACTTCACTAGACTCCTTAATGTTAATGTTTCTTTTTATTTCAGGTCTCTGTGCCCAAACCCCTGGTGGCCCTGATGTCTGCACAGAGGTGCGGTGAGGAGACAGATCCAACAGACCAAACCAGAACTCTGTACAAGTTTGATCAAAAGGTGGGCATTCTGTGTAATAGATAACAGCTTATTTTTCTTTCATATTGGCTATCTAGATATCTAGAAAATGACACAAACACCACTCTTTTGGTTTTAAAGGCATCCAATGCAGTTTTTAGGGCTTGGAAACCCGATTTTTCAAGATCAATATTCTATACATTCATCTACATACTGAGTTGAAACCACACTATCCCAACGTATATTGACCCCCTTGGAGCAAAAAATCCCAATATTCTGACGGAAAATGGTTACTGGAAGGGCCTTGGGATGATTTTTAGGGTACTTAACCCAGAAAATAAAGGACTCATCTTGGGGTTTGTTTCTGCAGTTTCAAATGCCCAAAGTATGAAATACCGATTTAAATGTACTAAATGTGAAGCAGTTTGTGTCAATATCACAAAGATTGCCTTATTCAGAATATTTCCAGTTTTGCTGCCCTGAAATCGCATTGGATGCCTTCAAGACTCTAACCTAGCAGTCTGTCAGGGTTTATGTTTGCAATGCCTTTAGGATGTGATTTTTATACAATGGACCTTCCTGTTTAGAAGCATCTCTAATATTTTTCTGTAGGTACAAATGCCCACCTACCTGATTGCTATAGTGGCTGGAGCCTTGGAGAGCAGGTAAAATATTTATTTGCATTGGTTGTGCATTTGTATTAATTATGAACGGAAAATATGTATTGTAGCTGGTGTGTTATACCAAAGGGCAGTCATACCGGCTATACCGATACAACCCTAACCCTAACCATAACCCTTGAACAATGTTCTTTAAATAACACTTAGAGTATATTAACTGTTTTCTCTCTAACAGGGACATCGATCACCGTACGAAGGTTTGGTCAGAGAAGGACTTGGTGGACAAGAGTGCTTACGAGTTTGCAGAGGTTAGTCATTGACTGAAACTCATACGCCAGTTTTTCTATGCCATTGGGAATTAATTGCCTTCTAAAAAAATTGCAAGTACACCTCTTCTGGCATTAAATGATGCCGCCGAAACTTAAGGGATATGGCAATATTTATACCATTCTTAACTGCAATTGGCCATGATCTGCAAGATTCCCTCTTGCACCCAATTTTCAGGTTGGGTGCACCAGTGCATCTATTCCCAAAACCTGTATATTTATAAAAGGGAAATGCTGATGCCAATATATAATGGACCTTTTACATTATTACGTCACAGTTTGTTTACCACAATGAATGCCGGGACGGTTTGTGGTCAATCGATGTTTAGATTGTACAGGTGTGTGTGTTTGTGTAGCATTACTATTACTTTCATCTACTGCCACAACTAAATCACCCATCACGGCATGTAATGCTGTGTCAACAAAACTAGATTCAGCAAAAATCAAACACGGTGACGGTGACCTGACTTTGAAAACTTGAAAGGGTCTTGAAATGATCTTTTTTCTTTAACTGACTGTTCTAGAATTTTCTTTAGAACAGGTAAACAAACTGTGACGTAATAATGTAGGTCTATTGCTAGATAGCACTGTCTGTATAATGCTGTAGAAGTTTTTAGATGTTTGAATATTTCTTGTTGTTGATTAATTTCAGACAGAGACCATGCTGAAGACAGCGGAGGATCTGCTGGGTCCGTACGTGTGGGGACAGTACGACCTCCTGGTGCTGCCTCCCTCCTTCCCGTACGGAGGCATGGAGAACCCCTGTCTCACCTTCGTCACACCCACACTGCTCGTGGGTACAACTCACAAACATTTTTTTTTTCCATTGGGCCACACCACACTGATTTAATTTTATGGATGACATCTGCATGCGCATTGATTTTCGCCCCCCCCCCCAAAAAAAAAAACTTCCTCCGAGGAGAGTCTGGCCTGGGTGCCATCCACCAAAAGTCCATGGTAGCTCCATGGACTTTGGTGGCTTGGTAGCTCCACAGCCGAAGCTCCACAGAACTCCAGAACTCAGTACAGTACAGACTCATAAATGCTGCAAAAGCCCAGCATGTTCCGGCTTGTCGTAAAAGTAACTATCTACTAGTGCGCAGCTTTGTATTCATGTGGTTAAGCAGTTTTTTGGTTGGAATTTTTTATTCCCACGCACACTAGTTTTGGGGT